TTTCTCCTTTCACCTCCCCACAACAAACCTTCCCAATTTCAATCTGCATATAAAAACATGGGCTTCAGAATTACAATGAAAACACTGACTATATAGGAAAAAAGTTGTGATGAAACAGCAAAGGGATAAGACTCCTTACAGGAAGCAAAAAACAAGAGGGCAAATGGTAAGCTATAAAAATAATAAAATGATACAATATGCTTGTGTTATTTCAACACAAAACTACAAAAACTTATGGCAGAAGAGAAGATGTGGCTAATATTGAAAGTGTATTTAAAAGCATCCTCTTTCGCCTGAGTAAAAAACTTTACAAGCATCCTTAAGACAAAATGGATGTACTTACAGAAATGTAAAACTAATTATTTGAAAAACAATGGTACTTGATCAAAACTTGTCTGAGAACAACGGGCAGAAGACCACTGCTGCCCACAATCTGCTGCAATTCTAAGTGGTCGCACTATGTTTCTTTAATGACAATAGCAAGTAAAAGTTTCTTCTGAAGTAGCCATTCCTGAGGTAAGCACTCAGAGCAGAGCTTATATCAATGATAAATGAATAATATTCCTTACAGAATAATTGCTGCTAGCAAAGCTCTGGAAAAAAAACCCATGAAGTGCATGCCAATAACTGTTTGGAAGAACTACTATTTATTTCTCTTTTGTAGGACTTTGAAAATTCTTAAAATACCTCATGCTAACCTTTCTTGCAAACTGCATACCAGACTAGAGCCATTATATAACCCATTATTGCAGCCTTTGTGTTCCCAGTATTTCTAAGCAGAGATGCAACAAACAGGAAAAGAATATATTTCCGAGTCAGTTTTAAGACTTGTTATAGTGGAATTACAAACAGCCTAAATGGACAAATCAACTTAAATTATAAGAAAGTCTTCCCCTCTAAAGACTACGTCAACAACTTAGAAATAAAATACCATATAAGTTGTTCTGCTAGTCTGAAAATGTCTTTAGTTAAATATTGAAGGAGTTCATGTTTGCTATTTCTCAATGAATTCTCTAAGTCTGTATTCAATTTAAAATTAAATGTATTTATCACCTGATTTGACAGGTCTGCAGCTTGACCTTGACTTTTGACAAAAGCTATTATTTCTTCTTCATGCATCACCACTCCAAAGAAGCTCTCAAAGTGTAGATTGGTCAAAAGTTCTTTACAAGATACGAAACAGAAAACAAGATTATTTACTCCTCCCTTCCTAAACAGTTTCTCTGGAAGGCCAAGTAGTAGGGAACAATAAAACATACCATTGTAGCAACAACTATCATGAAAAAACAACATACTGAATAAAACCTTAGTAAATAAAGCAGTACCACTTCTACAATTATACCTCGATTCTACATGCATAATAATTGACAGCAAGTTTGAATTGCTGCAACAAATATTTTTATAAGCACTTCCCTACTACAATAAGAGTTTTCTTCCCCATGTGGTACAGGCATTTTTTGTGAGATTTTCCTAGTCACCCCTGACCTTTTCCCCAAGCAATCCTATTTGGGGCACGGAAACAATCTTCTCCCCTCAAATACTACTCAGACTCACACACTTTGTTCCTCATCCAACTTCTTCTCTCACCAGAGCTCATATAGACCTGTCAGTTCTCCCTTGCACTAACACTGTTCTGAACCACAACAGGTTCCTTGCTACCAAAGAAATATTTCCTTCTCACTAATTTTATTCATAAAAGTGTATGTCATTTTTACCAGCTAATTATCCTATGCAGCATACTTCGGGGTCTCCACATTTAGGAGAGTAGTTGCTTGTACATTTGTACATTTTTGCCATCTAAAATCCTAATAAGGAAAGAACAGGTGGTTCAGCTTTTTTTTTTCTCATCAGCTGTGTTACAGATAGGAACAGATTACTCTCCTCTTCAGCTTCTCTCTACTATTATAGCTTTCCTCTCTCTCCTCTCACCATTTCTGCTCAAAATATTAATTATTCTTGCAGATGATAATCCTTCCTATCCTTAGGTCAGTCACAGGTTTTGTTTTCAATTCCTCCTTTTTTGCTTTATAACTTCCCCTTTTGGAAACAACACCTATTTCCAGTATTTTCCAATAACTGCTTCACACTGACAGCTTGCAGTTTTCTCTTGCCTCCTGTTTTTGATTTGCACTGCATCTTCACATATTTGTCAAAACTGCAAATTATCCATCTGAAACTCAATCAACACCAACTGTGGCTTCCTCAAGCACTTAGTTTTGCCATCATTTGCCTGCATACTATGAAAATCCCCACAGAAGCCTCCAGTGACCTCAGTTACCTGGTTCACTTAAACCTGAAGATGAACCACATGTACCAAGGCAGAAGCATGCACACAGATTTACGATATTTTGCTTTCAGTTGGAAGAAGGTCATCCATTAATTACAAGAGAATTTTGTTTTTCCTGGAACAAACTATAATATGCACGCATATGTACATATGAGAGGGAAATGTACTCTATGTAAACACGATGATAAAAACAACTGAGCCACCAGACAAAGCATTAGATTGTGCAGTTTCTATTCAAGAATATTTTGGGTTTTTTAAGTATTTCCATAACTGTAAAACCATTCTTGTATTTATGCTTTCTATAACATTCAGCAGCTATGAATTTGGAAGTTAAATGTTTTCTAAAAGCTGTATCCAATTACAGTGCTGAATGATTTGAATAAGAGACTGCTTGACATATTCCAAGATAAGTGGCTGCTACATTTCTTCGATATTAGGGTCATATTCTGTACTTACCTATTTTTACCCCATGCTTTCCATTGCTTAGTAATAAATTAATTTCTCACTGTTCGGCATGTGCCCTACAGTTATATTCACTTTCTCTCCCACTGAAGGAAGAAGTTTTCTGAAGTATTTTAAGAATTAACCATCACAGATTAAATTCAAAATACTATTTGAAGAGGCACATTCCCACATAGTCTTAAAACTCGGTTTTATACTTTTATTTTTAGAAAATTACCTGGTGGTGCTGAACAACATGGAATTGTAGTTAACTACTTGCATGTACGTAAGACTTTATAAACCATATGGATATAATTTGAAGGAATGAGTTTTAACCTTAGTATTTAATTTCTGCTGCTCCTTGGTGCAGAAAAATCAGGAATGGACTTCATGTACATCTGCAACTATCAATAGCACTAAGAACTGAGCTTAGATCAGAAAGCTGAATACAGACCAATCACTATCCAGGCAGAAACAATTAGTTCTTACATGATCCGGGTTCTTTCCAGAGCAGAGAGAATGAGGAAATGTTCCAGTTTCAGACCTCAATAATACTAAGGAGGCATTTTGCACAGTCATCATACAGCATAACTTCTACTCTTCATCCTACACCTTCCAGCTCTGTTGATCTAATAGCTCTATTTCTTTGTAGTTGTCTTCAGAAGAATGGGGAGAAGCAGCTTAGCAAATGAACAGTGGCAATAATGAGGAAAGCAGGCATGAATATGAGAGTGGAATACACGTTCATGTACTGCGGACAATGAAAGGAATAAAGACAGTGGCAAGCAGGGGCACCTAAGCCTCTGGCAATACAGATTGCTATCTCTAATTTATCTTCAAAGGTGGCAATTTTGAAGTAAAGCAAAGACACTAGAGTCATTCCTAAGATAACCCAGCGCGAGGTAAATATATGACAGCTTGTGTTTTGAGCTGCCAGAGCCATAAAGAATGGCAAAGAGGTGACTGTGGCGTGTAATCAAAGAGTAACACTGCAGCTGCTGTTAAACACAGATTTGCCACCTAACTCTGTATACTGCTCTACAAAATAACACGGAAGAGAATTTCTCGCATCTTTAGACTGTGTGACTTATCAGTAACTACACATCAGTTGTAGTGACTGCATGTTCACAGATTGTTACTGGCCTGCTTGAAATTTACATTATATACCAATTTTCTTAGATACGGCTAATATCCAAGGTTTTATCGCAAAGTCTCCCACTTCAACACCAAATTTTGAAGCCTGTAAACATGAAACAGAATCATAAGCAAAGGTCTTCTACTTCTTGAGTCTAATCACTCATGTAGCTCCTTTACTTAACAAATATTTGATGCTGCAAATTACTGTTTCCTATGGGAGCCCAAAGTAGGTTATCAGTGCAATGCATTAAAGTTGCAATGTAGTTTCCAGATACTAACCTCATCAGAAACAAGGCTAGGCTGAAAAATGCCTTTTTGGGTCAAATGTTGTTGGGTCACTTCCATCCATTTTCACAAGGATATATACCCTATGCAATACCACTACTTAAATTTCTATTTAGAATTTCTATTTAAATTGCAAATATAAATTGGATTAACACAAAATACTAAAAGAACCCCAAGTGAAAGAGAACAAATTACTATCCCTTCCCAAAATAAAGAACACCTCCTACCTCCATGAGTTTGCTAACCTTAATTATACCTATAGTTTTGAGATTCCCTAATGGAAAGTGCTACATAGCACTAACAGAATGAATCATTACACATACTGATACACCACTGATTGTAAATCTATACCCTTTTTATTTGCACCCAGAGACTATGTTTCATGTATTTATGAAAAATTACTTCCAAGTAGTAAAACATCATGATTGGAAGTATGTATGGTAAACAAACAGAGTATCAGCAAGTATGTGATGTTCTTGTAGCTTATTTTTGATAGTGTAGCAAATAAATTATTTGAAAGACCTCTGCAGTTTGGATTCTTAATTTCTGAATTAAACTTTCCCTGAGGCAACGAAAAAGACAATTTGAAACAGAAGGTTAAAATCCTTGAAGGAATCGTTCTCAGACATGCAATATTCATACTCTTCTCCACATTTCAGGATGCAATTACAATTCTTCAGGATGCAAATACAGACCAAAAAATGCTGCCAGACTTGTGTGTAAACCATAATTTCATAGAAGACTTTTATAGGTGAAAGAACTTTAAAAAAAAAACACTTTAATGATGGCCTCAAAACATGTGAAATGCTTAAACTGACATGCACCTTCCCACTTTTTAAAGGCTACTTACATCAATGACTGATGAACTCGACAGACTTAATCCCTCTAGATCTGCTGCTAAACTCGGGGACAAAACAGCTGCTCTAGGAATTGCCACAGGAGTTGTTACAGGACAAACTAGAAGCAAAAGTGCAAGAGATACTTAAATTGAAAAACAATTTCAGATACTGGGAAAGATAATGAATATTTTCATTGCATAGAAAGAGTTTTACATCCTCATCTAAATGTTATATTCTTGTATAAAAGTTTCTAAATATTAGATTACTTTTCCAGACAATACAAATGCAACTCATACACGTACAGACCATGTGATTTATTTTGAAAGTGTTTTCTCCTCCTCTCCTAATTTTTCTCTATTTTATCCCTCATTTTCATACATACTATGTAGCACTTTTTCATTTACAGGCTACATGCAAAGTATATGTTAACGCAATTCTGATGTGCTGCACCTATAGAAGTAAACTTTTAAAAGGGTACTGCAAGCATAGCCAAAAACCAGTGCCAGTTTCACCTTACCCTTCCAAGAGTACCATTTCACACTGTTCTTCAGAAATGTGATTTTTAGCATCTTAATATAATACCATAATTGGCTCATAGATTGCACAGGTGTTGTACAAGTAACATCCTTTATTACCTGAGAAAATAAGCCCACTTTAACAGAAAACAAGTCCAGACATATAAAAACTCTTTAAGTAAATGTTTTATAAGATGGTGCATTCTAAATTTTGAAACAATTTCTCAATTATGAAGCAAAATCTTGTACTAACTGTGCTTAAAAAATTACTTGATATTCTAAGCATTTATTTTGTCAGGAAACTGTCAGGTACAATAAATTAACAGAACCAATGTTTCAGACATTTAAATTCATTGAATCAACTGAACTGAATTTACATCTTGGGAAAAATGAGTCTTAAATCAAGATACTTACAATCATCTAAATCTAAAAGAAACATGCCTTGGTTTTTTGGAGTCTTTCTATCTTGTACTGGCTTTTCTTCTTTCTGTCAAAATAGATGAATATTTCATCTGTCACCTTATCAGCAAAAGAAAAGCATTTAGTACTTTGGTAAAGCAAGTGCGTATATTTTACTAGTGTCATAAAGCAAAATGTATCCATTTTCAGGGCTCGGCATCCAGAGAATTCACCTACTGAGAAGGATTTGTTTATATAATTAATTTGAACCTAAATTCCACAAATGAATTCCATCCCTGCACTGATATTACTTTGAATCTACTACATAAAAAATGTTTAAAAACGGGGAAAAAAATCCTGCAAGAGAATTTACTACTTATACTTCAAAACAAAAGAAAATGGTCCTAAAATAAGACACAAATAAAAAAAATACTGAACCAATGTATGGCAAAGAAAACTTTCACTGCACACTTTATCAGGAAACTGCAATTGAGTGTATCAGTTGACTATGAAAAACAAGCAAGCAAATAATTCCACCAAACAGAAAGCAAAAAATACACAAGTCTGACCGTACCATTTGGGAAATGCAAAATCAAGAGCTAATTAAATCAAGATAAAGCTACTATTTAAGTGTGACCATATCTTATTTCCAACTTAAGTTGATTGTTCAAGCTTAAGAAAATACTGGGCTACTCATATATGTGTTTGGGTGCTACATATACACACAAAACCACAAATATTTTCATGCTTATATGTATTTCTACATATGGGTATGAACATTAATTGTGCGCAATTCTGTATAAAACACCAGTGAGATCTACTTATGTGGGTCCTGCCTATTACAAACATGATTATTTTTAATTTGTTTTTTCCAAGAAAAGAAAATTGATTGGCTATCTATGACCATGAACAGCCAATGACTGCAGATATTTCAATTGAGTAAAAAAAGCTTTGCATTTGAAATCAAGACAATAAAAAGGTTCTGACGTGTCTGACATTCCTCTGTAATACAATTTTTCATCTTTTTTTTTCTTAAAACTAAGCCTACAATATAACCCAAACAGTTTTCTACCAAGAATGCCCACTATGGGAAAAGCAGAATACTAAACAAAGAAGTTAAGGTATATTCCATCAAACATTTCTCCATTTGCAATTCATCTTGATAATAGAGATAGAACCTGGTAAATGCATATAGGACTTGAAGCAGGAGATTTCTCTTGCTCAATGCATAATTCATGTGCTCCGCCTGCAAAGTGTGTAAAATGAGAATTTCACACCGCAGCATGAGCCATGGAGCTGCAGAGAAAAGGCAGATGAAATCATATTCTGCTGTGCGAATTTTATTTCTTATCCTCCCAATATTTATACAAAACCATCACTGACAATCCAAATGCATTGACAGATCACCCACTGTTTCCATTGTGTTAGCACTTGAAAGGAGATCAGGCAGAAAGATAGACAATTTGTTTTTGTATATTTTTTAAATAGTGGATCAGGTTTTTAACAGCTGAGTGACTGTATTATACTTGTAGAAGGAGGTCAACAGTAGCTGATTTTAAATCCCACTGTTGAGACACCTACTTATACATGCATCATCCTCAAATATGCGTTTCAGCTCTACAGTATTTATGCTTACAGTATAATATGTATCTGAACACCTCAAATTATCCATATTTCAAAATGATATAAAAGACTGCAGTACAAGAGACTGACTTTTCTATTCACTGCAGCTCAATTACAGTGAACACAACAGCCTTTTCAAAATTATTTGTCAGGAGAAAAAATACTAAACCATTAGTAATATATTCAGGAAAATAATCTGAATTTTTTGCAGTGTACTTTAATGCCAGTAATTGAATGGATGTATGTACAAATTAAGCTCCAGTGTGAATGTAATAAAACCTTTTTTATTAAGGAAATTTTGCAGAACATGGCAATGGCACCCAACACAATATATATCGAATGGCAAACATCACCCAAAACATCTGCAATGAAACATAGTTCATAACGTGTGGCAAACTGAGAAACCAAGAAAACAAAGCTCACTAACCACAACTTCTTCTTTCAATATGCACTTCATAAAATCTTTTTCCGTTTTAGTGAAAAGGAAATCCTAATGAATAATCTCACCATACAGACTGCCCAAACTAAGGACACACTATAGCAGAATAACATATGTCCTTCTAATGACAAACTATCAGAATAAAACATGCATTTCTGAGAGCCTGGCAGAAACCATCTGTTTCCTGGGTGGTCAGGAAGGAAGCAGAAAAATAAATATGTGTGATTATTTTAAAATGTACCTTGACACATAAGGGGTCTATATATAAGACTTCAGCTATAATCTTCTTTAAAGTTTGTTAAAAATTATTTTTTCTTTCCAGCTTGGAAGGTGTTATCTAGGCTACTATGAGTTACCTTCATCTATCATTATAGGGATCAAAACATGTTTCTGTCAAAAAAAACTATTATGCTTGTTAGCATAGCAATCACCTTTATTAAAAAATACCTGTGATTCTCTTCCCTCACCCCCTTATCTAAATGTCTGAAAATAAATAAGTATTAGAAACACCTGAATGCAGGCGTCGAAATGGTTTAAGTGGAAACTAACTTCAAGTTTCCAGGGATTAATATCATATTGAAACAGTCCTCCCTGTTCAAGGAGATTAAATTAACTACCCCCTGCCCCTTTACATATGACCATTGCTGTTCACAGTTCATCAGCCATAGTTTGTTGCCCTTATATTAAATGTGCTAATTTCTAAATTAAAAAGAATTTAAGGAAATTTAGCTTCTGCACAGTGAGCTCTATGCTGTCTGTTCTTTTCAATAATCTCCTTGCTACTTTTTTTGCTGCCATGCATATAAATTCAGTGCTATTTATTTTAATTTCTTTTCTGATGTTAAAAAGATTTGCTATTTTTCCCTTCTATCCTTTGACTCTGCTGTTACCAACTCTTCTTTCAACTGTTCAAAAATACTTCTTGTTCCTAACACATTTCCCTTTAGGTGCTTCTTAATCAAATAAGACTTCAGAACTACTGCAACTTTCTTTCTCTTCTTTTAAAATCCAAGGCCTTGACAAGTTTCCATTGACTTCACCAATTCAATCCCAAGCTTCTTGGACATTCCAGTTCTCATATTCAGTGTATTTGACTTCACCTATTCACATATTCTGCTGTTTTAAAATATAGAAAGCTTCTTTATGCTAGTAGTCCTCACACTGTGAAAGAACCTGTGAAAGAATCCTGTGAAAGAACCAAACAGTTTAGAGAACTGTAGGGAAAGAAATTATTAACGTGGTGTCAATATCCTGAGAAAAATGGAATAAATGCAGCAAAGAAGACAGTATAGTTTAAACATGGTTCTGCAGTGCCTGCTCAGAACTATGCACATCAGAGCTCATATTGCTACTTTTGGGTGAAAAAATTACTGTGCTGATGTGACAAGCTGCAAACTTACAATTAATTCATGTCCCATCTAGTATCAAAGCAGTTTATTCTGAGAGGATTTAAGTTGTGTCTTTTGTGCTACCATTTTTGGCAAGATCCAGTCTGGCTGCTCTAGAAGAATAAACTTTTGACACAAGTGTGTTAACCAATGTGTTATTTGGGCAGGAAACAATCACCAAACCATGGAAACAAATCTCCATTTCTCAAGTAATACAGCTTCACTTCATCTTTTGTTCTACTTGGTTGAAGAAGGGAAGAGATTAAAAGTTAAAGTTACAACTCAAGCATTCTTAGGCAGACCTATAAAATTACCAAAGATTATGTACAATATAAATTCAAGACTCAGAGAAATAGAGAGCCCTAACTCCTTAATTAAAGGAAACACACACCTCAACAGTTTAATCAAGTAATGGCCTTCCCCCTTAACTGGTCAAAACACACCTATCCAGCAGCTTCAAAACTGCCAGAAATGCAACAAAGGATGTCTATTTTGACTATTCCGCCATCTATATAAGAGTCCTGACTGAAATGGCTTAACTTAATTTAAAATACATTCAAGTTTCACTTAATTTTTAATACTACGTATCAGTATTAGAATGGAAACTTCTGAGCTACAATTCTATCCTCCAATATTTTTTTGTAAATATATAGAAAGAAATGCATAGAAAGTATTTGACAACAGAAAAGTAAGTGCCAGAAATTCTTTTACTCTTATTCCTGAACAGATTTAGTGAACAGTTCTTCATTTATTTATTTTTAAATGCAAGGTAGGTGGATAAACAGTAACCAATTCATGCTAATAGCATGAATAGTTAGTTCTATTATGCTAGTTTGAGTATAATGAATTTTTAAGCTCTTTTTCTTCACTAAGGTAAGCAATTAAATCTTAACTGACACATCTAGAGCTCTGTTGCATATTTTTGCATCATATTTTCACATATTTTGAAACCAATTTAAAAAATACGTATTTTAAAGCTTGCTATTTCATTCCTATTTTAAGAAAGCAAACAGAATTTTTAAGTAACAGAACTCTTTATTCCTAACAGACAGCAAGTAAAAGTTGATTTCTTATTGGGAATATTACTAATCTATATATACATCTCAGTTATAGATTCATCGACTGCACTATTCTCAATTTTAACAGAAAATTCTAAAACTAAACTAAAAGTGCCATTAGAATGTCTTCAAATGCTTAGAAACAATGTACTAACATTTGTTTCTTTGTTTTCTTTCCTCTCAGACCCAGGTACTACAGCTATATTTTAAGATTCCATTTTAATGAAATAACCATCAACATCTATGTATTAAGTGTCACCAGTTCAACAATAACCTAAAAATTAAATTAAAAAACAATTAATTTTATTATAAAAGAATAATATACTATTAGAAAAAATATTACATTCTGTGTATAAAAAGTAATTAGATTCTATTATTCTTCTTCAACTACATGCAGTAAAAATAACATGAAATTCTAAACTGAAATAGGGTCTTTTCTTATAAAAATACTCTTACTTGCTTAAACTATCAAACTACTTTTGGACTGGTCTCTCTGTGAAAAGTAAAAAAAAATATTTTTCATAAATTCTGGATTGTTTTAGTTATATATAAAACAACTACCCATCTTCATTCCAACAGAAAGAAACGTGGATGGACGGTTAGATACACATACCCATTTTTATAGAAGTTTTAAAAAAAGTATTTTACCTTACTAACCTTATTAGAGGTAGCATTTCTAGATTTTCCAGATTCAGAGTCACTTTTAGAGTCAGATTCTGACTTGGAGCCTGCAGAACTTTCATCTGATGAACTGTATTCTGTATCAGAGGAACTGGAACTGCTTCTCTTCTTGGAAATGCCTTCTGCTTTCTTTTTAATATCCTCTGAATCACTATATATTTAAAAAAAAATAAGAGACATGTAAAATCACCAAAGCAATCTGCTTCGGCAATATCCTACATCAGCATTTCAAAGTTTTATTAAATGAGTTTTAAGTAATTATGTCTCCACAAAAAAAACCTCAGCTATGAATGAAGTGGTTTATTTAAGGCTACACAAAACTGTTCTATTACACTACACAGTACACCCTCACATGTAGTCTAAAACAGTGAAACTGCCAAACAAAATGTGAACATATGAAATATAAAAAAGATTATTTGCATACATCAAGCTTGTGACATTACAAAAAGGAAGTGCAGCCACCCTTTTAAATAAAGAGGCTTTCATACTATTCCACCTATGATGGACAGAATGTTGGCGTATCATCTTTTTGCACAGTAATATTGCTTTTAAAAAAATCAGTGAATTTAGTTTCTTCCTTTGTTAATTCTTCTAAATAAAACCACACCACCTAGAAATGAGACCTACAACATCTACAAATAGTTCAACCCATTAAAGAGTTTATACACAAGAGCTCTTATATTCCTATACCTTTGGTCACACTGAATGCCTTACAGCCTCAGACACACACACTGAAGTTCTGTTTACCCTACCAATGCTGGATTATGTTGGTCTGTGTTAACAGCTACTGAATTTTATCTGCCTTGTTCACATCTAATAATACTTTAAATACCAATTTGAAGATTACTCTTTTGTCTCAGGGGGAGTTACTACCACAGGAAATGAAAATTGTTTTCTAATAATTATCATGGAGCAGAAAAATTAATATTGCATATAGAAAAAACCCTCTCTTCCTGGATATGCAAACAACCATTTTATACTTCCAAATCAGGTGTTTCATACACTACCTGATTCAGCTTCCTTCCCAAGACAATAAATTGGTTATTGAAGTGCTTGAAGGGTAACAAGGTCAACAATAATTAAACAAATCTAGACCACTCAACTATTAAGAGTCTCTTTGGACTCGTATTAAATTGTTACACATTTTTGCTTAGCTTTAGGAGCAGTACAAAAGAATGTCCTATGCTGCATAATTGAGATTGCAGTGTTCTTAGGTGAAAAATATACAGAGAAGGAGAAATGAAAATTCAACATGACAGAGCTCAAAACAGGAATAAAATCTTTCTCCTCTCAAGAACTTCCTATGACCGAATTGCTTAAATAAAATTTAATCAAAATTATTTAAAATCAATAACATTTAGGCCATGCATACCCATGTACCTGAAGCTAAAATTACCTCCCCCAAATTTTAGTCAAAAGCATAAAGCAGTAATTTGGAAGCTTGCAAAGCTAAAAATGGAACAGTACTACACTTCACGAAAATAGTGTAACATATCACATCTGAATGTTAAAATCATGGTGAAAAACAGGTACTGAAAATTAGGTTTCAGTATGACAACATTTAAAAACTTGAGGTCAATGACTTAAACAAAAATTCACTCCTATATACTGTTCATAGTTTCTTCATGACAACAGAATTATCTATATTTCATGCACTGCCCATTCAACAGTAGCTGTAGTTGCATTCACAAATAAGTTATTGTGAGCCCATTATATAAATGAAGTTGTTTTTCAATAATTTATCTTTAGCTTAGCTTTAAAACTAGATTTGAAGATTAAAAATGTTACTTTATGCACATCAGCCAGTTTTGATGGGTAATAATTGTTTATCTTACTGCTTAAAATTTCAGATGTTATTCTAATGAAAAGAATTTACTGGTAACTAGCTTTTTAACTTTGCAATGATGAAAAGCCTGTATTAATTTAACCTACAGATTTCATTTGTTCTGAACAGGAAAAACAATATAAATCACTTTTAAAATCATTAAATCCTGACTTAAATTAATAAAGTCATAATTAGGGCATTATGCTGTGTTTGTTATGGAAGTGGCAAGGCGAGCTGCTTTAATTACTGTCTGTAATAAAAGGAGCAGAGTGTGTACTGCGCCCCAATCAGTGCTGTCAGCCACGACTGAGCTGAGCTGCAAACTCATCAAGTGAGCTGGCAGCAGACTACAAAGTAAAGGGCGATCGTGTCTGCAGGGGCCGCTTGCTGACAGCAGTGGAAGAAACAGATTCATACAATCCAAGGTATTAGCCCCAATTACTCAAAATTTTAATGATACTTTAGTACACGATAATGCTGTTGATAATAGGCAATCTTAAAAGCGCTAACACTTAAATATCTTATGACCGCTTCCCTTCACAGCCCTTGCCTCTAATATTTGGATCATAATCTTTTTAATATAACATTATTTAGAAAAATCAATTGTCTTAGTTACATAATGGCAAAGTGTTGAAGGACTTAATTTTAGCTCTCAGCAAAATTGCAGCAAAAGGTAATTAAGTGTTTCACACAACTATTTGATCACTTATTCAGCCTCCCAAGGTTACGTTAATTTTCAACAAGCCACCCAAGATTTTACTGAAGTCAGAAATTAATTCTAAACATAAGCGTAGTCTGATTAATGAAAATATGAACTGGGTTCATACAATGACTATTACTAGTATACACTGACATCACTCCTTGGCCAACACACGCCCAAAATAGCCTAATTAAAGGCTTGGCAGACTGCTAACATGAAGAGTGCTTTATAAGCTAGTATTGCAAAAAATTAAAACCAGACAAACATATACCTACCTTTCATTGACAGCTCTACATGTTTTCTTAGCAGCACTTTCTTTGCTGTCTGATTCACTGTCAGTTGATTCTTCACTGGGAGAGGAACTCCCACTACTCTCATCAGTGCTGCCTTCCTCTTTATCTTCCTTCTCACTTTCACTGTCAGACCCACTCCCTGAAATGAAAACAACCCTTAAAATCTTGAACCAAATCTTAAATAATTAGTATCTTAGAAACCAAATTTTGTTTTAAATTAAACAATGCTTTCGTATTTTAAGATCCAGATGCAAACTTTAGTATTATTTTTACCCTGTGCCAAAAGCGGGCAAGAGAATTACTTTCTCCTTATATCTATAAAATTTTGTTAGTTAAAAACCTGTCCTGCTCAGCCTACAGTATTATACTTTCCAAATTAGAAATCTGAATAATAAATTAATCGCATCTGGATTCTTCAAAGTTACATAACCCTATTAGGAGCTGAAGATGACCTCAAATTTTCTAGTCTTTACATTCTCTCAGCTGCAAAATTATCTTCTCAAACAGTTGCTTAATTAGATAATCTGTTCTTAAATACCCATAGTGACTATGATTGAAAATTATTAATACTATAATTAATCATATAGTTACAAAATATTCAAATACCTGAAGTGAGTGTATGCTTCTATTACTTCAGAAATCACTAATTTCAGTGATACAATTCTTAAACATTTCTGCATATTTCCTCAGTTTAGGAACTGGAAGGAAGCAACTCCATGTTCATATTTTAAGATGTCCCTCTCCCATCCAACTAGATGATGATAATTCTTTCAAGTGTCTAATGTTAAACATTTTCTGTGTCTAAGGTCTGGACCTGGGAGAATTATGAACTTTACTACATCTGAAATAGACTAACTTCTTCTGAAATGGCTGTCTTGAGGAACTGCCTATCTGATAATAAATGAGAGAACAGCTGAAAGAACCTCTGCTTACTGAACTTGATAGGCAGCTGATACCCCTTCATCAATATCCCCATTATAATAAACAGAAAGTATCATGAAGAACTTCAGAGAAATACTGTAACACAATATGCTGAATAACTCGCATGGAAGACGACACAATTAAGCAAATCTGGCCATTTATCAGCAAACAGCACATGTTATCAAAATAATTCTTCACCGCCACCAAAATCTGAAAAACAATTTAGACTTAAAGTTCCTGACAGCTAAGCATCTGGGCACTTCTCCAATCAGCTATGTGCTTTCAGTTTTAAATGGAGTTACAAACTCTCCTTACTCATATTAGACTTCAAGAATGATAAAAATAGCATGGCAGCTTTTTCACCCAAGAAACAAATCAAAGGCTCTTACTTAATACAGTGAATGCAAAATCCGCCCCACCCCCAATTTATTGAGTTTATACACAGCTCTGGCTTTGTTTGCAATTTTTTTCTTTTTATGTACCAGACAGCAGTTCAGGCTGTGAAAACACAAGCTGCTTTCCAAACACTTGCCTGATGAACTGGTACTGGCAGACTCATCTTCCTCCTCTTCTGATTCAGAGTAGAATTTTTCAGTAGGTTTCTCCTTCTTTGGCTTGCCTAGAATTCCAGTCCATTCCTTTGCCTGTAAATAAATTTTAATTTAAGTTTACTTTTGCAACCAGCAATACAAAAATATAGACATAACATATCGAATAAAAACATTCAGAGTAGTGGTATTAAGCTGTTGCTAAATAAATCATCTAAGCAAGCCAAGAGAAGCTATTAAACTTCTCTCAATATACACAATTAGAACGAGAAGTTTGGTACATACCTATGAAAGGTGAGAGATGTCTATTAGGTAGTTCATAAAAAGATTTAGGAAGGTAGATTAAAAGCATCAGTAACGATAAATAAATTTCTATGCCAAAAGAACCTGAAGTCTGAGAGTTTTATTTCTAGATTCAGCTGACTATGACTAGAATGAAGGTTAAGTAGGGCTAGTCACCACTTTTATCATCCCAAGTTTTAAGCAGAAAACAGATGTGGACACTCTAGGTAGCCACAGACAAATTATATTTCATTTCCATTGCAATTCTCCAAATGAAAGTAATTTTTTATCACCGAGAATGCAAAAATGAGGCAGTATTTCCCCAAACTTTTTTCTTTCCATATACCTCTATGCGACTAGAGAAGCAGTGTTAAAATTCAGGACAGGAGAAAAAAACAAGTGGCAGACAACCCTATCAACAGTTTCATATAGGTCTGCATCATTGACTGATCTGATCTGTAACAGGACTTTAGTTTTGAAATAGGTTCTAACAATGACCTGTAAGGCTAAACAACTCTAGAGATACACTGGCTTCCTCTTACACATCAAAAGCTCCTAAGGCTTAAGAAGCCAATATGCTTTTGGATATAAATGACAATTTGCATGTGGATTGCAACTTAACTCAGCTTTACTCACATACACTATGTAGGCACATGCAGTATGAGGGAAACCACAAAATTAATGAAAATGACATAGCCTCCAAAGAAAATACTTGCAAAAAAACCCCAAAATGGCTGAAGGATTTTTCCTGTTTGCCTTGAAGTATAAATAGTTGGATTTTTTACTACATTGTAATGCATGTTATGCCATTTGATCCATTTCCTGAAATACTTTTTGGTCTGATGGATCAAAGCACCTTCAGACATTTTTTCATGCCAACCCTGTAATTTCTAATCCTCTGTTTGAGCTGATTATCTAAAATTCTTCCCATAAAATCTTTCAGAAGTTTGTACACAAATATCACTGTTCCTGAAATGTATATAAAAAGGTAGACACATCATAGTATGAAGGAGAAATGCTTGCTCTACCAGATTACTGTCCACTGGCTTTTGAAAGTCAGACCTATTTTTTGAATTTTCTTGCTCTTTCTGTGTGTAACATCTCATAAGCAACTTAATTCACGTGTGATTTACTGAGTAAGTTGGCTCATTACCAGCACTGCATGCTTTTCTGTGTGTTCTGTTACAATGCTATGCCTACAGGAGCACTATCAGCACACTATATACCGACACATTTGCATTTCAGCTACTGTTCAACACCTTCCACTGGCATTCCAGCAGGACTCTGGTACCCAACACATAAATCACAACTTTGGTACCAAAACACGACTTTGCTTCAGAGTTTACACTACAGTAACAAAAAGATATTGCTAGTAGATGACGAGCCCAATGTGTCAACAAATGACTAGTGCAATAGATGACAATTTCCTATCGTGAACTTTCCTAATCCTCTCCAGATTATCTGAAATGTAAACCCTCATCTCTTCCAAACCAGACACTTCAAAATATACATAACCTACATAATCTAATCCCCTGCAGCTACTTTTTGGCATTTATATTACCTTTTTCCTTTTATTTTTTTAATTTTACCTTTGATTTTTCACAAATCAACCTCTTCATTTCTGACTTTGGTAGCCCAGCTACACTCAATTAACATACTGCAGCAGAGTGGAGATAAAAGATATGAAATCAGAAGTGAGATGGAGGTGAAAAAAGTCTACTTACTCCACAAATGAAGCAGAAGTGGCCTATAGTTTATCCACTTTTGTCATTGAAAATAACTAGCATTACGCAAGTTTCCAGATGCTTGATTTCTAAGATAAAATAAGCAACAGGGACATTCCCATGCACCAGTGGCTTTCAACACAGCCCACAGATAGCATTTAAATGCTTGTGGTTTTGGGCTAATACTCTGTATTGACAAGTGCCTTCAGCAAAGTTACTTTCCGTGACGCTGACGTACCGACTCAGCCACGTCGACGTTGCGGACGGAGGGGTCAGGTGCCACCTCTGGCCAGTCGGACAGCTCCAGGTACCCAGTGGCTCGGCTGTTCAGTGTGTGAGACAAGGTGCCAAGCTGGAAATGATCCCGATCTATTAAAAAAGTGGGGCAAGGGAAGAAATACACAAACACTGTGAGCTCTGCCACAAGGAGCAATCTTAATCAGGGCTAAAGGTAATTGCCATTGTATTACCTCAAATGTCATGGAATAAATATAAACTAGGAAGCTCTTCATAGGTCAAAAAACTGATTTCAGTCCATAGATTACAATAATCTCCCCCATAATGGTCAATAAAAAAGCTAATCAGTCAGTGTGTTTAGAGGTGTTGCTCTGAAATGTAGCTTCTCTAAAAATTACTTTACTGTGAATATTAAGAATGACAGCACAGTTAAACAATCCATATACATGTCTTGGCACAAACACATCCAGAATTTTAATAGTTTTTCTTCAAAATGGAGCTCCTTTTAAAGCTTCAAAACTAGACCTAAGTAAGTATGAAAATTAAAATGCAAATTGTCACAATAAGAAAGTATTTTTAATTTAGATAGCCTGATAATCTTTTAATTTGAGAAGACAGACAATAGATCTTACTTGTAAAACAACAGGCAAAATGCAGAGGGAAAATGATTTTGGAGAAAGAAATACCTATAAAGATTAAATTTATTTCAGACCAATATAGCATTTGCAATACTCACATTAACAATCTTCTATTAAAGTCCAGATAAAATCCTAGAGCTATTTTCCTAAATTGAAAAATAGTTTTCCTCAAAAGACATACCTTCTGTTATTTAAATAAAATTTATAATCCACATGAACAGAAATGGATCAGTTTGCCAGGGTTTATCATTAGAGAAATGCACTGTGCACCTTGCTTGCTGAAAAGCAAGTAAGCAGACAGAGCATCCTTGCATATTAATCTTTTCTATTTGCTAAGTGACACAATTTGTGAGAGTATTTGAAAATAGAATAAGCTGCCACATTCCTTTACACAATGAACATTTACCAAATGATTTTGGCAGTTATACCTTTAAAAGGAGACTCAAGCAATGGGGCAGGTTTCTGTGCCAGAAATATTTTTTTGGCATATTTGCTTAAAGCTCCACTCTTCTCATTCGGAACAATAAGCTGCCTAATAAATCTTGTACGGTCTCTGATGTCGTAGCTTTGATCATACTTGCCGAGATTTAATACATACTGGGTAAGCAATTTTGTCTGTGGAAAAAAAACAGGACAAGAACAGAATACAAGTTATTTATGATTATTGATAACTCTGGATAAACATATTTAAAGAGGTAATAAAAATGAATGGTTATGTCAAACAAATGTTGCTCCACAGGGAATATGCATTTCTAAAGCTGCAAATGGAATTCTGCAGCCAAAGCACATGTCCTCTTCTGTATTGGGGAGGTGAATGCTGAGTACTGAGAAGCAGCCATGTGCTAGATTATTAAACTGCTGAAGTGGAAAGAAAGGCATCATTAAAAAAATAATCATATATGGCAAACCCGCTGAAGGGTCTACGTGAGGATAATGAATGTGGAAATACAACTAAAAACATGGCACTCAAAACTTAATCGGAAAAATATGCAGGACATCAAAACATCAGAGGGTATTAGGGGGCTGGCAAACTGCTTCTGCTGAGGTGTGTTTTATGAAGAGATACTGTCCCTGGCATAAGCAGTGTCTGCACTCTGACTGCACTCAGTTACTTTATCCTGAATTATGACCCATTAAAGCAGACACATGAATCACTGAACTGGATTACTGCAAATTATTTGCAGTGCATTTAGCTGTTACTTTTTCGTAAAAGCAAGCTGCTGATGCCCTCTAAAAACCAGGATAAAAGACTTCTTCCATTTTTTTCTTGAAGCTTAAAGCCTTCAGTAATATCGGTCATTTATTTATTTATGTAAGAGAGCAACTTATACTATCACAGGTTTTTACAGCATAATAACAGCTTCCTAATTTGATGTTTGAGAATATTAACATGTCTTAAATAATTTTAATAATTCAGATAAGTTTTTAATGTAAGAAAATAACATAAGAAAGGAAGGAGACATAGAAAATAGAAATAATGTAGTGTAACCAGAACAACAGTGCTGAATAGACTGGAATCCACTAGATATATTTGAAACATGTATGCCACTTCCTTTATATACAACCTAACAGGAAAAAGAGCAGAAATGCTATACCATCCTAAGGAAGTAAATTTTGGTACTTCAACTCAGAATGGATGCATAACACAGGGTTAAAAATGTATCACCATGAGAAATTTATCTGCTTTATACAAAATAACCTTGCATATATATATTGTTTATCATGCTATTGCTATGACAATAACACAGTTTCAATCATGTGAGCAGAAAAATAGGTCCAAAAAATCAGTGCATTTTTGTATACACTATTTGCTTAAAATTGTTCAGATTAATAACTTCCAACTTGAGGCTATAAGTAGAAGTTTTTTTTCTGGAGATATAAAAACGCTTTTTCAGAAAACTGATTTAACTCCTGTCAGTGAGATACACAGTAAATAGGAAATGGTTCTAATTCAAACCCCATCAATGCAGCATATGCAAGCATTAAAAAAATTAGCTATGGCACCAAAGATTGGAAGAAATTATATATTATACATTAGAATAATATAACAGCACAGTTTAAAAAAACTGTAAATGAAATATTTTTTGTTTATTTTTTTCTCTCTGATACCCAAGAATGACTCTGTGAAAAGGTATTTTTCATCCTTGAGGTACTGTCTTAGCTCTGGGAAACGCAAAACTTTCCCATATGTATTTCACAGTTTATTGGCAGCTAATTCTGTATGAGGGTATAAAATTTTAAACAACTGCATCAGACTGAGCCTACATAATCTGCACTCATGCAGGACTTACACTGTTCAATCTAAATGGAATTGGAAGGGAGGGTTCCCAGGTAGCATGAATTAAACTAAATGAGGGATACCTCCTGCAGCCTTTGCCATCACTTCACCACTGTAAAACAAGACAAGACTCCTTGCTGTCATGGCAGGAAGCTCAGGAGAATGGAACATAAAACATAATGATCTTAACCTGTGATTTGCTATAGGGATGGGCAAAGTTGAGGGCCTTATCACAGTGGACATTTTTTCAGTGAGTGTTGATGGAATTACATAAAGACAAATTAGACAGATAAAGAGTTGATCCTGAAAGACTGCATTTCCTTTAATGGGTCATTTACATTATAGTTTTCATGGAAACAGTGAGGAAACCTAATTTTTAAATTTTTTCTTATGGTAGAGCAATCAAACAAGCAAAAGACCTTTTCTACATGGAGATAGCTAATAGAAACAGTTTTTTTAATTAAAACAAACACACAAACTAACAAATGCACATAAATTTTTCCAACAAAGGAGTTTTCCAAAAAAGCTGAAAATCAATTCAGCAAGCACACTGATTTGGTGAAACATGACAGATTCTGCATACTATGACTGCTCATAGAATAGTGACAAAGTATTCTGATCTGTGATTTGAAGATTTATTATCATATGTCAATATTTCCTGATATCTGGACATGCACATTATATAAGCATAATATAATTTCTTTTATTCCCATACTGCTGAACCCATTCTCATTTTTTGTGCACTTTGCTTTGGCTCGAAGTGCTAGGTTTAGGTATTTCTAGAATTCAATCATCCTCCAGCAACATTTCTGGAATTTTCTAGTGACAAGGATTTAATGCCTATCCTATATTAGCAGCAATTAATTTTTTGGTAGATCCCCACCTGAAAATTTTACAATACAGGTTTTACCAACAGATGAGGCTCTACAATGAGAGAGAAACAGTTATCTATCCACTCTTAGGTATCATTAGCTTTCAGTAACTTGATTCTTTAAACACACAAGATAAGGCTATTGTGCTAAACCACGATTGACATATCTATTTACACCCTGCAACTACTTGGGAATTTTTCTGGTGGGAGTCCTACTAAATTAGACAACAGAAACCCATCAAAATCTCTTTATTCTTTCTGCTATATGCAAGAAATATCTCAGGCAACTGTATGACGTATTTCTCTTATATGAGCTCCATTTACACAGCTATCTAGCACACTCAAGGTTTTATGGTCCTAAGTATTGAAAAAACAAAGCAAGTTTACCAAATAATACAGATAACCAGAAGCAAGCCTGCTTTTATTACATATCTATCCAGATATAACTGAACCTGAAGCTTCCTTAAACTATAAGGAAGTCTTTGAAAATTCACAAGATGATTTCAGGATTTCAAGTATACTTCAAATTTTTATAAGAAATCCTGAATGTTAAAAATCATTCCTGTGAATGTGCTTCACTAAGTGTTTCACCATACACTTAAGAAAATTACAAGCAAATAAAATAATATATTTAGACAAAGGGAGTAAAATAAGCAAGTCTTATTTCCTCCAGAACTTTGTGCTTTTCTCAAAACAAGACTTAACAGATGAGTTCAACCTGACTTTCCTTCACCTGGTGAAAGAGCTCTTTTCATCTGTTTGGGCAGCACTGAGTGTCTCTTTGCCATTCTACCACCACTTTGCAATAAAGTGAAATTTTATCTTTGAGGTTTTCACAGCTCCATTAACTTTGGATGAAACTCATGATTCAACACCAAATTTTAAAAATGAAACTGAAAAATGGCTGGACTTTTTAGGAACTGAAGTAATTACAGGAAGTAATTTTAATAATGAGTGAGTAAAGAAGAGTTACTCCTGGAAATAATCATGTAGATACAGGAAGAGGGTTGTCAGCCTCTTATGGAAAACCCATGGTATTCTAGTTTGAAAGGAACTTTGAATCAAGCCAAGTCACCAAACCTACATTGTTAGAAATTTTATGTGAACACCTTGACCACTTGAGATAATAACTTATTTTTCCACAACCTTAAACTACAAGAGGAAAACACCCTTTGAGGAAATTCATCATTTAGTAGACATCTCAGGAGACAGTTTCTTCTGTTTTATCATCAGTACCATGTTTGAATAAAGGGTTATGCAGCACTTATAACAATGATTTAAAATGTATTAAGATGTGAAGGAGGAAAAAATGCATCACAGAAATCATCACCTCCTTGTATACAATGTTTTTTTGACCAAATATGGCATGGAAGAATTTATGTGCAAAATTACAAAAACTACATGGAAAATTAATAAATATAATGGGCTAAAAGAAGACCGTTTAGATAGTAAAACCAAATCTTTCCTTATCTCATCTCAGCCTTTTCTTTAAGATGAGCAGTGTTGGAGAAAAGTCACCTTTTATTACTACCTAATTTTAGATTGTATAAGCAAAGCATTCACTCCTATCTGAATGCATGGCAAGACAGTTCATCTCCCACATGCCCTATAAGAAAAAGTCTAAGACACATCATGTCTGTAGTTGCATATCACTATCAAGGAACAAGAACGCATCACAGTTGCAGAGGTGCAAGATCCTCTGCTGTGCAAACTGTTGTAAAACAAAGAGGTCTAGCAGCCCAGGAAAGCATATATATCAGACAACGTATTTCTTCTACATTTGGAAAAAAACCCAACACTTCGATTTTACAATCTTTTACAACAATAATTGGAATTACAGTGAAAAATAAGTGTCAGAATGCTACATTTCAGTGATAGGGTTCACTGTGGTGTCACTTAGAAGAGTGAGGCACCTCTCATAGCTATTGTTTTTAGCTGCTTGGAGATCTAAGTTCACCTCTTTGTGTTAGATACCTGACATTTTTAGATTATTTTTACTACTAGAGGTATTAAAACTCACCCCTCCCCAAGATTAAAGGATATAGCAAAAACTAAATCAAACAAACCAACCAAATAAACAAAAAAAGAGAAAGCAGTTACTATCTTTAAAACAAGTACTGATGTGAAGACAAAACAAGGCCTATTACACAGGCATTTGTATTTGCCCATTACTGGCATCTTCTTTTAAATATCCTGAACAAAAAAGTGAGCAGCTTCTTGTTCAAAATGACTGTATTTCCTTGAAAGTTTTAGTTTGAGAAAACATTAAATCACATCAGCAAAATCTCCCACCTGGTATTACTGAAACAATTTTCAGTTCTCTACTTATGTGAAGTAAAAATTTCACGATTTCCCAAAGATAGATACAAAAAAGAGTTTATCTCATCACTACATTCACATTCATGATCCTGCATGCACTGAAAGACTCAATGGTTGGATTTAGTCTGTTAGATTTTTTGAAAACATATATTCAGCTTTTCTTCATAGAATAGAATAAAATAATAGAACGATAAAATAATAGAATAATAGAACAATACGGACTAAGTTTGGTTACTTACATAGAAGAAGTCATTACCGATCTATACAGACTGTGCAAAACCTGTTATGACTCTAAATATAATACTGAGTTTAGGCTTACCTGCTTTGAATTTGTTAAATAGAGTTTTGCACCCAGATTTAAGATCTGCAATTTTACAAGGTCATCTTCGTTTGTGAAGCTCTTGGCTGTCTTTCTCAGAACATCGGGCGCGATCTTTGGAACCCGTTCACAGTACTCACCAATGAGCCAGAGAATGCTGGCTCTGGCTACTGGAACCTGAGAAAACATTGAGCACTCTAAGTTAACAAAGTCACAAAGACTCCTTGCATAGTTGTATGTGTCTGCGTTCATTAACAAGTTACACAAAAAACTATTTAAAGACAATTGCCACGCAAGAAATGCAGCATGAAATTAAATACAGCCACTGTGGTAGACTGAACTTTCATACAAATGAACTGATTCTGACCCAAAACTCATGCATTACAGGTTGATGATACAGAGACACACAGAAGTGACATGATGATGTTCCCAGTACAAGCTTATGAGATCCAGGAACACAGTCCAAGCCTTCAAGATGTGGCTGTGAATTCCTACCACCAGGTTATGGTAAACACCATGTTGAAAGAAAATAGAGCTTTTTTTTTTTTTTTTTTTTTTTTTTTTTTTTTTTTTTTTTTTTTTTTTTTTTACTATATTCATACAGAAATGGTTTCCAAAATACATCTTTCTCAATTCCTGCCTATCTAGTTCATAAGCATATGGATTTCTTTAAGACTATTCTTAGCTTTTCTTAATTTTTATTCAGAATTTTATGACAGTAAGATTTATATTTTTGCAAACGTCCAGGACCAGTTGAACTCAGAATATTGGTGAAACAGAAATTCAAAATTGCAATTCACAATTTCTGAATGGGATCTACCATCTTAACTGAAACACTTTGACCAGAGTTCACATAGGTCTTAGCATTTTGGAGCTACTCATCAGTATCACTGAAATAACAGGCAGCAGCAGTTTTTAGATGAACTCCCAGTCTATGATGCTGAGTTCAGAAACACAGCAATGCCAAAAACAGAGGATATCAAAATGGAAAAGCACAGAAGGAAACAGAAACTCATGCTCCATGCAGTTTAGAAGTAATTAAGATTTAAATGAAGTAATATACAAATAGTTTTGTAAAATGTGAGCTAGCCTACATTACCTGGTCATCAAATTAAAAATTTATCTGCGTTACATACATCCCCTGAAAATATTTTTCTCCTTCCTTGAGCAGAAGGAAAAAGAATGCAATGAGAAAGTTCAGAAGTATGTCAGTGTCTGAAGTATGTAGACATTGTATAGCGTCTACAGACTGTGGTGTTCTAACATTCTGTACAGACTCTTGTTCAACAAATGTTGATATGTCAGTGGAAAAGCCTAACTGTTCTAGTCTATCAAAAAACTGACAGTAATTTAGAAAAAAGAGAAGTTTCCACTGCAATTTCAGCTAATTTTATTGCCTTTTCTGAAAGGATCAAAACCATTTTTACTAACATTTTGCATTAGTCATTACACTACACAGTGTCTTTCTTAATAAGCTTACACTAATGGCAGAGTGAGTTTTGCATTAGGTAAGATTCACAGGATATACATGCTTTAGAAATGCAGCATTGTGGTTCTCAAAGCATTTATTCTTACTAACTTTTATATATGCTTTAATTACTTTTCCAGAATGTCTGTTTTTAATATATGAATATCTGTTTCTCAGAATTGCAATGGGAACCAACTATTAAGTATTTTACTCAGTAATCTTGTACCATTTGAAAGTACTACTGATGAAAGTATATTCTACGAGGATAAAATGGCTCACTAAGCTTACTAAGGAAATACTAATCACGTTCATGAGAATTTTTAATGACTAAATGTGCTCCAAAAAGTTTGGAGACAACTCTAAATAAGGTCAACTTGACAGTATTTGCCTGTGTACTTGACATGGTTGCAAATATATTTGCCAACAAAAATATAAACAGGCATGTCATGGGGAAAACAGAGGACTGCTTGCACTGAAAGCAAAAGCGTATCATGGATAAACAGAATGCAAAGTCCAGTAACAACAACAATAAAAAGTCCTGTAAAAGATAAAGGCTAATTTTGATTACGGGGAAGAAATTTCAGGTAGACGTAAGAGAATATTTTGAGAATGGTATAACACAGTGATTTAACATATATAGATATATGCCAATAATGATGAAGATACAGATGAGTTCTTCTACGTGAGTGGACAAAAAAATTAAGTAGCCTTGGAATTTACAGTATGAGAGAGATGAACAAGCAACTGAACAATCGCTATATATAAAAACTTTAAATGCAGTCAGAGTATGTTCGTCTGCAAAATGGTAAGACTGATGCCATTACTGTACACTGATTTCAAAAGGGAAAGAGGTTATTTCTAATGTTCCAAAGGTTACACTGCATTAAGACCTCACACCCAATCCATTATTTTAAATTGGGCTAAAGAATAGTAATTGAGTGGTACATTAGATTTTCCAGTTGGAGCAGTTCAAGTTGCCTACTGTACAGATAGATACCTCTAAATAAGAATATATAGGCAACTTCAGATTTCAGTTATGCTAGATTTATTTTTCTAAAATATTTCATTACAGACTTGTTAAAATACTAAAATTCTCAAGAGATAGCCAAATACCATAGTTTGAGCAGCAGCCTATCAGAAGCATTAATCTTGTTGCCTTTTCATAAAGCAAAGATAGCTCACAGAGTAAACCAATTTCAGTAATAGCATTAATAATGACATGCAAATATCATTATTGTATTTCTCCTCATCAAGTCCAGGACTACACTTTAAAACCACAACAAAATGTATTTAAATATATTTAAACAGTGTGCATTTAAGCACAGTGTTTTACTCTTCAAGTGTTTTTCCTAGTTTGTAAAATAAGATTATTACTGTAATAAACTAGTTTTACAATGCTAAATAATTAGACTAAACAAAGCCTCATTTGAAAAATAGTGACAATGGAAGACAGAAATTTCTTGTTATATTCTGCCTTTTAACCAGGTGGTTAGGTTACTATGTAAATACTGCATATATATTAAACAATTTGTGGCAATTTTGTGCCACAAAAATCAATACCAATTAGAGACTTTTTGAATCAAACCCTGAGCAGAAGCCATTTTAATGAAAAGTGTATGTTGAACTGATGAACCCAATGTTTCTGTGTCACTGGATTCATTTGGGGTCAAAATCACACAATATTTTCAGACTTCTTTTTCCCTGTTTAAGTCTTCCAGTTCTCAACCATGTAATATCAAGTGCATGATTCTGCAGCTGTTATTTCCAGTGCACTCAAAATAGTGAACAAGAAATGAAGCCCCTTCTAGACCTTCACTGCCTTTTCCAGTATAGCTTAAGTAGGGACCTTGAATTGACAAAAATGCAGGAAATAATACTTTCATTATTCAGCCCTGCTCTGCATTATCCTCAAAGGTAAACAGGACTGTAAATTACTTTGCCTGATGTTTTATTCCATATGGCCCGAGCAAGTGGTTAAGTGCACTTTTTAAGCCTTTAGTACCAAGAGGCAGCTTCTATTGCCATTTCAACCCATTACCTGTCTCAAGGAAAATAAATAAATGGTTAAAAAAGAAAAATTAAAAACCAGCCAGACACTCCCCTCAAAGCAAAACTCTGATCAGTTATGGCAATTAGAGAAAGATGCTATAAAGACTTTAGAGATTGCTCTAAGCAGCACAATTGAAAAACTACTGAAAAGTAGTTCTGCTCTTAATATATAAACGCAAGGGTAAAGTCCAACTTAAAATCACCAGTTCTGATTATTCACCTGTCACAAAATGAGATACTCAAATTAGAAATGAGGTGTAATTTTCTCCATTCAGAAGAAAATTTGCATAGCTAGGAATTTTTATAAATTTTACTTCAAATCAGAAATGGAAAGAGGGATAAATTTAATTTGAAATGTCATACTGACAGCAAGAAGAAAAGTAACACAGGAAAGAACTGGAGCAAAAGAGAAGTATTAATTTTTTGTTTTCAAATGGTAGACCTTCAAGGACTCCTCTATTTTTTGAACCTCTACATACAAAATTCCTTTAAAACAAAATTTTTACTGGCAACCGCGTCTCTTATACAGTGTACCAATTTTTTAAAAATTGAGCTATTGTCAAATTATGACAATTGTTCATTAAATCATTACTAATACAAAGGTTTAAAAATGCCTTATTGAAGTGTATCCTAGGTAAAAGAATATGGCTAGAATCTGAAGAGTGCAGAACTGAAATACATACAAAGATATGGATGTCACAGTTTGTGATACCTTAGCAACGCTGCAAGAAAGGAGAACTAAATTAAAGAAAGCAAGCTGCCTGTTCTGTGAAGCTATATCAGAAATATAGCTACAAGCAGTATTTATGCAAAAGTCAAGTTTTTTATCAGTGGATGAATGGACAGAGAAATGTTAAAATCTTTGAGTCCATTACTTTTGCAATAAGAATCCCAATCCAAACCAGTAAATAATAACACTTGTGTCCATAAGTGACGTGATTTTCCTCATATACTGAGCTCTTCAAAATTAGACGCCACTATCTTATTTTTGCTCTACATCTGCAATGCCTAATCCCATCAAGAAGTATTCCTCCTCATCTCTGGATCAGAAAACTGTTCAAACTTGTTTCATCTTCTTGCTCACCTTCTAGAAAGAACTAGGAATAAGTCTAATAAAAAAGAAGAATGTAAGAATTCACCAGCTATCCAAAGAAAAAAACCTGCCTTAGTAGTACTGTCATAGAAAAATCACACCAGAAGTCAAGATTCCCACGACCCAGACAGGAGTCCTTACTGCATATAATCTACGATAATAAATTATTTTTCTAAAAACAGAAAGGCAGAAACAAATCTGGGGACTATTGGCCTTGGAACATTAAGAACAGGACATTAAAAAGTATTCTACACAGACAGATGAACTCCAAGATATTTCTAAGGAAAAAGACATCTTGGAATCATGAACATTTTCAGAAAGTTGTAGAGTTGTCAAGTCAGTGTTCTGCAGAAGTCAAAAGGCAGGCAACACCAGGGAAGTGAGATAAAAAACGGAAAACAAGCAGTATCACTACGTCATTGTGTAAGATTTCTCCAGCATATCTGACTACTATGTACACTTCTGGTCATCCCACTTTAAAACCCACACATCAGGAAAAGGCAAAGAGAAGAGAGAATAACTGATCAGAGATATGGAATGTGAGGAGAAATTAGAATTTTTAGATTAGCAAGCATGATGATGTGGACAGTAAACAGAAGCTTACAGTAACTGGAAGAGAAGATATATACTGGAGGTGTACCACAATGAATTTCTCTGATCTTTAAAATCCTTTCCCTAAAGCATCAGATTCTGTTGCTGCTGGAGATGAAACTTGTAAGAGAGGTTTTGAACTTAATCTTCTTTAAATGGCTCTTTCCCATAAGAATATTTTTCAAACTTCTGTCACTCTAAAAGCTGTATACACAAAACTAATTAAGCCTATCTCAGAGTGCATGCCTAACACAAACAAGCACTACTACAATCTTGGCCCACAGCTTAGCAAATCAATCAATTGTAAAGAATGATAACGTTATTAATACATTGACAGCTAAATGGAAATGTTTTTATGATTTTTAAAAATGGAAGTTTAAAGAGATCCAATTATTCTCTTGTTCAATGTCTTCAGGACACCATCAGACATGCATTTCTCCATTACAACTTTTGAAGGGTGTGAGGAAAGGAGCTGGAATACAGCTAGATCAAGCTGTACTAAGCACAGGCCTAAGTACTCAGCAAGTATCACACACAAAATAGATCTCGTAGATATTTCCCTGAGCACACATGAGATAAAAGTTTAAGGTACAAATGAACACACACAACAGTAAAGGAACAAAAATAACCACTATTTGCAGAAATGTAAGAAATAATCAATCAAAGGATAAACTGAAACAGACCTATCTTCATCATAATTTGGAGTTCACTATATTTTAAGTGAAATTCGTAGTATTTCTTATAGTTGGTCTTATTATTTTTTTTATATATGGTCTTAATATTTAGCTTCTTCTTATTTAGTTTTTTATTTATTTTACATGGTAAAATTGTCATCTTCTAAGTATTCTATATCCTGTCCCTTTCTAAATGGCTTCTGTGGATGAAGAAGATGAAAACAAGAACAAGTAAATTTCAGTTAAGAAAATGACTTGAAATAAATATTGCTGTGAAAGATTTTTAGGCACCTCAACACTGCCAATCACAACCTCACGCCACCACAAGAGAAATTCTGAAATGTATACACTTATCCTTTACAGAAGTAAAGGCTGAGGGTTTTGACTAGATGATCTTTACAGGTCCGTCCTAACCCAAATCATTCTGTGAAGGAATACATTCATTTTCAGACATATGCAGTCAGAAAAATGACACAGCATTCAAATTATAAATATTAACATCTTCAAAATGTATTCTATAATTCAAAGTCTAAAGCATACCAAAGAAAGTATGTATCTTGAAGTTATCATAGAAAGATGTAAAACAATCACCTTGGAGAACCTGCAACTTCTTGTAGGTTCATGACTACTCTAATTCCTAACCACCAATCCTCAGTTCACGAATAAAAACCATAATTCAGAATCGGATTTGGATTTTTACATTATTCCAATGACTGTTCTATCCCACAAACTGTTCTCCCACTGCTTAACATTTTCTGGTATTCTGTAAAACCTCATATTGGAAAACCTCAGAATGTTAAAGTAGTTTAAGTACAGCATGTCTTCTCTGCATCCTCCTTATTTGACTTTAAAAAGGATTTTCTTTTCCACAAAACTTAAGAGTATTTACTTGAAAGTATTAATTGTATAAAACAGCTACAAAACTCTTCTAAGTTTTAAACAGAATATTTAGAAAAGTACCTATTTTCTCTTGTAGAGTATGTAGAAATAAGATGCCAAACTTATTTGGTTAAGTGCCAGAACGTTATTTTTGAGATTGTAATAATCCATCAAAATACTGGACAAATTTTCTGAAAATACAGGTGATTACTATACATGAAGTATTACTTATTTTGGTATGTAATAAGCAACAGTATCTTATTTTGATATGAGCAATTCAGTAGAATTTCTTTTCTTTATATCAGTTACAAAGTGATCATGAGCTCTTAGCATCCAAAGATTTATTTAATCTTTCAGTAAGCACAAACCAAGAATACCATGTTTTCTTTTTCTTTTAATACTCCAAACTTTGCTGAATTCAACTATGGAGAAATTAATGTTCTCTTATTTAGAAACTACTCCATTATCAAAAAATGTATAATTTTATGAAATTAAAGAGTTCTATTTATCATCTCTACAGAAAAATAACTGTTGACAGATCAAAATCTGACACTTTGGGTTTAGGATACAATAGGTAGCTCCTGGACATCATCCCTATACTCTAATTTAGGACAGATCACTGAATGTTTTATTAATTACTAGGCCTGTGAGGAGAATTTGGGAACTAAATATTTGCATACCTAAAGGTCAATTAAATCTAAAGACAGATAATAGGGAATAATTCAAATTTTAATGTTAAATACCACAGAATCTCAAATACCTAGAAGATAAAAATGAAGCTTCAAGACACTGCAATGCACTCAGAGTAGCATGTCTGATACCATGGAAAGGTTACGTAATTTGGGGGAAAAAGGTTTAAAATAAAACTTTCAAACTCCACTCCAGACCATGAAGACAACTGGGTAATAATCCTTAAGTTAACTGTTTATTTTCATTTCAATTTACCCACTCCACATTTTAAACCTGCTATTCATCCTAGAGTAATAGGACTAGCAATACTCAGCATTTCCAGGGATCTATTTAAAAATAGCTTCCCAGACCTAAGGCACAAATTGGAGCTATCTGATAGCTATTTCCTTTCCATTAACATCATAAAAAATTAAACTTATGTCAAAAAGAATTTTTTTTTTCATTTCTCTATATACCTACTTCCGTTTACAGCACAAATTCGAAGGAGAAAAAAATCTCATTATCAGTTGACAAGGCAAATTAGAGAATGCGAACAAATACTCACTGTAATGTTATCCAAGAGTTTGGCCATATGCTTAATAATTTCACCATGGTGTGCTGGCTGGGTTTGCAGCAGTTTCTTAATGACAACAACACTTTCAGCAACTACGATTTCTGTTTTAGACAAAACAAATTATTAATTTTAAAAGCATTTATGAAGAAAAAAAGCCATAAATAATTGATTTTAAAAGATGCAAAAGCTTTCCAAATATGCTTTGCAGAACTGAATTATATCAATTTGGTAAGAAAGAGGTAAAACATCCTAAGTAATCTAAATTTAGCTTCCTGAATCAAGTTACAACAGCAAAAGAGGACACAAACATTCTAAATGTAAAAATACCAACCTAGTACATACTTGTATAAAACTGCTTTTTAGTGAAGCTGAAATTTGTGTTTTTCCTATAAAATTGAGGAACAGTATAAAAAAAAAATCTGTTTTTCATTAAAATTATGCATATTCAAAAGCAATTTGCAGTCTGCAATGAGAATAAAAATGATTGCATTAAAAGTAACAGCTCATTCATACGCTAGAGAAATATCTAAATGTCTCCTTTGCATTTTTTTCTAAACGCAAAGAATGTTTCTGCATCTAAACAATCTCTCTCAGGTCTGTAACCTAATCTTTAGTACATTCAAATGATGCTTCTAAATAGCAAGCTGTTGTAAGATTCATGCAAAAGTCATACACTGAAGTGCCTAACTACTGCAAGAAGTAACATTCATAGCCCAATCAACTTGTATGAAATGTACACTTTTTGAAACTGAAAAGACCCCACATGAGCAGAGGCAAGCTTAAGTGCAAGAGTAAACTCGGTTAAGGAAAGACGAAGAAGCCTAACTACCATTTGTTAAACAGAGGTATTCCTGCATTTCTGCCTGAGTTAATCTGACACATGGACCATTCATTCAGCAATCAAGCATGTTCAAGTTTCAATAGAACAGTATGGGGAAGAGATGTCTAAATTTTGGGGGGCTGTGGGGTTTTCTTGTTGTTTCCTTTTTTGAGAAAGCAAACTGCTTTATGGAGAAAGGCTTTCCAAGAGCTCTGGGTATATCATTATGCCATATGCCTCTGAAATACTTACATTTTAGCCTGTAGCTTTTTGTGTCATCTTTTATTTGACATGACATCTGTCATTTTTCCAGACTAATTTCTTGAAGCAAGGTTAACATCTCAAGGTCTTGCACAATCTTACAGATCAATTTAATTTACACTGTATTTTGCCAGATATTAAAATAGGAAGTCAATTCTTGAAACTTGAAAATTATAATCTGGAATATTTATAGTGAGGAACATCAGAATGGCAACTTTCATCATTCAGTATTTTGTGATACACTGAACAGTTAAGAAAAATAAAACTGAACCAAAAAAATGAGTGGACACGAAGTCATTATTAAAAACAATTGTTGACAATGTAAAACTGACTATGGTAATATCAACTGCAGTAGATGAGATGTCACCATAGGAAATACTTTAATGCTATCTGTGGGAGCAAATTTAAAGAAAATAAACCAGAATTGTAAACAAATTGTAAACTACAACTGTAAACAACTGCAAACTAATATGGTTTTTTTACACAAGTCTAGATACTGGGGGAAAAAAGTACAAACAAAATCAAAATGCATTTTTATCAGAATAAGAACTGGCATAGTTATAAAACCCCATACTCTGCGAGGCTTGCTTTGTGCACACAAAGGACACGAAAATGAGCAGGAAATAAAAGAGAAACACTTAAGTTCAAAACCATAACAAACTCCAGCAAAATAATAGAAGCGAAGATAAAACTGGCATTTCTGAATGTGCAGTAAAAAAATTTTTAAATGTAACTCCTACTAGAATTATCAAAGAGGCAGTCCATACAAGGCAATGATAAATGAACATGAAAATTTTGGAACAGTATAAATCATACCTAAAGGATTATAAAAAGTAAATTAAATTCTTACAATAAAGACCAGAAATCACAGAAAATCTGATCAGAAATGCCTGTATTGATAAAGAAGACTACATGGGGTACCACAAGTTCAATTTTGAAGTCATAGTAAAAATCTTTGTCTCTTCTAACGATTTTGAAGCGATGTGGAATTGACTAAGTAGGACAATCTCGGAGGACCCTGCAGCCTGACAACTCCTCAAAAACTTAAAATATACTCAGTCGTAACTGTTCCATTTTGTCAAATAATGATGTACGCAAAAAAATCAACAATGCAGCAGACAGTAAATTGTAGAACCAAATTAAGGACTTCTCCTATAATCGGGAATTTGCATGCATTATAACAGAACCTCAGAAAATCATCTTAGCAAGGAGTATATTACCAGAGAACATTCAAAAGGTGAATTCTGAAATACAACACTTGAAATCATTAATGTTATATGAAATTTTCTTTCACTTACATTAACACACCCTTGCAGCAACTAAAGCATGCAAGTTAAGACTAATTTATCCACAGTCTACAGCTTGCATAATCACTTTTTTAAAAGTGGCAAAACTGCATCAACTGGTTTTGGACAGGATGCCCTTTTGGTGGCTGCCCCTTCCCCAAAAACATTCAAAGTCAGGTTATATGGAGTTCTGAGCCACTTGGTCTGTGCAACATGTCCCTGCCCATGGCAGGGAGGTTGGACTACACAGAATTTAAAGGTCCCTTCTAACCCAAACCATTCTGTTATTAGGGTGAATAACAATGCTATATGGGCTAAAAAAATTGCTACAAGGCAATCACTAGAGCTAATTACCCAGACAGACCTAACTTTCTGCTTTTCAGAACAAGCCAAAGTTTAAGCTTTTACCTTGTTAACTTTCCATCCTTATAATATAAATAACAAATCTCAGAAATCCTACTAATACATATAAATGGGATGCTACAAGTTGCTTTTATTTTATGTCATTCTAATACTACTTAGAAGAGATATGTACTAGCTACCAGATGTATTAACAGTTCCAGTAGTTTTATGACTTGCAGTTTCACATAGATTTGTAGGGCAAAAAATGTTTTAGCTATCCATTCTACAATTGTTCTTTCCTTTAACCTGCAACTTTCAACAGAAAATGGAAGTCACCCATCTAAGAAAAACCTGCAGGACTTCTAGTATATGCAGTACAGTCAGACAAGAGACTTCCTATAATCCCATCTGTCTCTAATATGTAAAATGACTTTTAGGTAACAGTGGGGCCAGGAGTCACTTGAAACTATCAATACAATTGCTTAAAGGAAATGCATCAGCCCAAAATCAAATTCACATTAGAGAAAGAAAATAACTTTTATTTTTGTCTTCCTTCAGCAGATGAGGAAGGAAAATAATTCTCAGCCCTCACAATGGCTTCACAAAAACAGTCTCTTCAGGAGTCAGTCAAGTTTAGCTTGTGATAATCATACACTAACGTGTCTCATCACTGAAATTCCTAGTTTTTGTTGTGCTTCTGTAGTTGAAATGTTGCTGGTTTTTTTCACCAACATACCACAGCTTTCCTGAGTAGGGAAAATCTGACTTTAAGTCACTTGCAAGCATGCAAAGAAAATTTCAAGAGCAATTCTTGACATCCCCAGAGCCTTGTTTCTGGAACAATGCCCTACCTCTCATCACCCAAATTGCAGAAACATTAACTGCAAAGCTCTTGTGCCAGAGCCAAGATATCCTGAGTGCTGGGTTGCATCTACAGTTATAGAACAAGCACATGGAATCAGAAGGCACTTCTCCCACAAGCTTGTTCTTCAGGATTCTGTTTTGCTTTCGTAGAACTACTATGAGCACCTCTGTTCTGTACTCAAGTGAATTCTTCATAGTAAGAAAACAGTACAGAGAAAGCACAGGTGACTCTGCTGCCACAGACCTCAGAACCTGCCGGACCTACCAGCTTGCACTTCATGCTACACAAAGCAGCAGGACTACTTCCAGGCTCCCAATGACCATGGAAGAAGCAGCGGAGCAAACAGATTGCTTGCAGACTTAACAGTAAAAGTTGGGGAAAAGCAAGATTAACCAAGACTCTTAAAGCTATTCTCTTACACTATGCTAAATCTCTTTTTTATTCCCTTACCATGCCAAAACTCTTACGTTCAGTAAGCTGTGACTATCAGCAATTTCCTGCCACCTGGGGAAAGGTACCATGTAAATTATGCCATTCTATTCGTTCCTTGAAAGAAGGAATAAAGACACTGCAGCTATGGTAAAGCAATTTGCCAGCTGCCAGGTTTAAAAGATCCTCAATATATCCTTTGCAGCCTTTCAGAACAGTAAGCACAAGATGATAATTTTATTTGCTAGACAACTACTTAGAAACAGACATGAAAACTAATCTTGTTGAGACAGACCTTTGTGTACATGTACATGCATATATGTGTGAATATAAATATATACATATATACATACTGAATCACTCTGAAAAAATATAAATTGACAGTCTATAATAAAAGAAAAAAACATTTTCCTCTTATCTTGGTTCCTTCTTAGCAAAACAAAAACAAAACAATAAAACAGACAGGATTGTTAACAAAATTTGTATTCTGAAGTGCCAGTTTTATTATTTAATTTAAAACAGAAGAAATATGGAGATTTGCATATGCTGAAGAAAGCCTACTCAGAGGAAGATTGCTAGAAGAATCAGGCAAAATCAAGAACAACTTTGAAGCTTGTATTTTTACTATGGTTGTTCCTGAATATCATACAAGCAGGTGCACTGTGAAGACATGGCTTTGTAACACAATGCGGAAAGATATTTCAAACACAGCTGATAATCAGAAAGGCTTAAACATAAATAAGATGTATAGCACTAAGAAATCAAAGTCGCGGATATTCAAAATACAAAGCTATACACTGAGGCCACTCAAGAATTACTCATACAAGATGAGGTGGTTGAGAATGACAACTCAGTTCATAAAACAAATGAGAGAAAGTTCTATGTGCATTAGTGGGTCACTGGCCAAATATGTGCTGCCAAAATGATGTCCCTAATACAGGCCTTCTCAGGATTACCATGAAAAAATGTCCAGGAGATATAGAGAGGCATTAATGCTGCTTTTCAAAGCCAAGAGCAATGTCACCTAAGTTCTTTGAACTGTTTGAACTACTCCAGGACACTCCAAAATCATGCTTTTGCTCCTTCCTGACATTATTTATTAACTCATATTACTGACTTCTTATGAAATAAGAATATGCCATATTCATTGGTAACTGGTAAGAATAGACAATATTATTAGGTATTGACTTACCATGCTGCTATACTCCATTTGACTTTATCTGCTCCTTGTTGTGCTCCTTAGTGATTTGAAACTTTGTTTCACTATCCAAAAATAACAGTAGCCTAGACTACAAAATCAAGCCAAATCTAGGGGCATTTATCCTAAAATTATTTAATACGCGTTTTCAGTTAGGCATTGATGCACTACAAAAAAAAAATTCCAAGCTTTCAGCACCCTCTACAGGCTAACTGCTTTGATGCAACTTGAATTGTAACTAACTATTGCTGCCAATGATAATCAAAACAGCACACTTTAATAATCACAGCATTTTAAGAAAAAGTAGGCAAGCATGTAATTGAGGGCCACAAGGAATTAATTTCTCTAACAGAGGAGAAAATAACGACTCAGTGAATATCAGAGCCTTTGGAAGTGCAGGATTTTTATCTACTTGTGTCAGCCAAATTCTTATAGAAGTCAACCCTCCCTTCTTGATGTGATCTGAAGCTTTGTGTGATTCTCCCTAAGAAAACATTTCATGCCATCAGCTACCCAGAAAACAAGAGAATTTTAGCTTACCATCCCTGTTGGACAGCAAACAGACGAGGCCATTAAGGCACGTGTCAGTCACTTCGGTGATGTTAGTTGCGCATCTGCCTATAGCCTGAATCGTAGCTGCAGCAAACTGCTTATCCTGGCTTTTCACATAAGTCTAAAGAAACAGGATTTTTGTTAGCCAATATATAACTCTTATCAACCAAAGACTTACCATATTATTCTCATGAGGCAGACATACTGTAAAATAAATTAAACTTACAAAGCTACATTGCACATTAGAAGCTATAATTTCGCACCACGTTGTCACTTTAAGAAGACATTTTCTTGCACGCTTTGGTCACCCATAGCCATGCAAACCTCTGATTTCAAGAAAGCTTGGGGTAGGGGGCAATTACCCAAAAACAGCCATTAGTTTGTGTGCAAGATTGGAGGAGTTGATGAGCTCTCTCTTCAGAGGTTTCAGTTCATTTAACTAGGAGCATCTGTGAAACTATGAATAACCTACCTGCCTGAGAACCAGTACCTTTCACAGAAATCCAGCCAGAGAACTGAAGCAATGCAAATAGATGTCACAAGCAAAGAGGAAAGAAAGAAGGACAGACACTGTTTCACAATATAGGCAGAAGATCTTGCTGACACATGAAGATATTGGAGACAATAGAAACTATTTCATCAAATGACTTACGGAAATGAGTTTTGGCAACAAATGCTAACGGTCAAATACTGCTAAAAGTAAGACCCTACCATGTAGTGACTTACAGTGTCAGTCAGGTTCCTGGAATATGTGTTTTAAGAATACGGAATGATTGAGTTTTTCTCATCACTATTTTTCTCTTTTTTTGGTAGCTGGAAGGAGAGTGAGGAACGAAATATTTGAACTCCTTTCCATATACAATTAGCTCTCTTATGCATTATAGTATGAGATAGTTTAATTTCCATTTTTGGAACATGTCATCCTCGAAAATACTTAAACTTGAAAAGTTTAAGCCTAGGAGAAACATCCAACAATGGAAAAAGAGATCATAAATATAAAAAGAATACACTTTTGCACAAACCTGAAATTCTCGAAGCAGAGTTGATATGTTGGCTTCATTTGCTAAATTTGTCAAGATTTCAAGCTACAAGGAAAAAAAAACAGACATGTTGTCAAAACTTAAAATAAAATATAATAAACAATACCACATGTATTCTTTCATTATCTATAAAATATATTTTAAAACTACCACTCAGAATTCAACAGAGTATACCAGATATCAGTACAAGCTGGTACCACCATTGCACTCAGGAGGCATATTTTCCTTGCAAGTACTTGCAAAGTTTACAAAGCAGGAATCTAGGGTTCAGTGACGCATTTTTTATGAGCCTGAGCTTTAGTGTTTCATTGCATATCAAATGGGCTTGAAATATTTCTGTCAACTTTCCAGTGTTATACAACAGGCTTTAGCATGTAAGAACCACACGACAGTGTAAGAAGAAATAACAGAAGTCACAACTGCATCAGGGGAGAATTAAATTGCCCATAATATTCAGATGAACCGTAATAAAAGACCTTTAAACTCAGGAAATAAACGTTTGCATCTATGAGATTCCTCAGATCTTATTCAACATCAACAACATCAGATCCTGGAAGCCTTCCTCTTCGTTCCTGGTGAACAAAAGGATGATATACAACACTTGGCATATATTGTTAAGATGCTATGCTTCCAGCCTGTTTTAACTTTGAATGAAATAAACTGAAAACACAACCCTGACTCTCCAAAGGGAAGTCATGCCTCAGAAATATGTTGGTATTTTTTGACTTGGAGGCATCCAGAAAAGGATATTCAAATGATACAGTCTACCTGTACCTCAAAACAATTTCATAAGACATATCACTAAAAGCTCTTAAAGATACATATCTAGAATAGTATAGAAAGCAAGAGGATAAATGAAAAAGAGAAACGGGAAAGAGAAAAGGAGATTATAGTACAGAGTGGCTATCAATGGAGTATCACAAATATCTTCACTGACCTTTTTCACAGACGAACTATGAAAGTAAGGAGAAGACAGGCAACGAAGTTTTTAAATGATGCATTTCAGGGAAATGAAGACAAAGGCTGACTAAGAAAAGCTATATAAGAGCTCCAGATAGTAGAAGACTGATCAATAAAACAGAAAGACAAATCAACACATGTCTGCAAAGTAATGCTCATAAGTGGGAAAAAAATCTTAATTGTTTAGAAAATTATAGACTCAGAGATGATGAAAACTAATTATAACTGAGAATTTGTGATTGAAATAGGTTACTGTGAAAACACAAGCTCAATGCTAACCTCTGATCAAAAAAGCAAACTTGATGTTTGATGGAAAATAAAAAAACAAACAATCCAAACAGCCCAAAACATAAATTCCAAGGTGCTCCTACATATTAATTACTGCCATGGGTTTCATCATTCTATTTTGAAACAGGTAGGCTTGAATTACAGAGGTAGAAGAGGGAAAAAAACCACAAGATCTTTTTAAAAAATTTAAGGGTCTTCTAGAAATATAATCTAAATGTAAAAGTTTAGGGTCTTCTAAATTTTTCAGCCCTCATGAAACAAATGAGGCAATGAAAGGAAAATCCACGATTTCTACTTCTCCACCTCTTCTCCAATATAGTATCAATTAATATGGGAATTTAAGTGTATCAACTTTCTATTATTTTTGGACTGACTGGTCTTGGATAACAGTAAGGAATTCCTCACAATATTCCTAAAATGTAGAGAGTATTTTTTTGCTTACAACTGCCTCAAATTTACTTATGTCTTATTGTTGGTATAAAATACAAAAATATATTTAGTTTGTATATATATACACGATAGTTTAGGCACAGTCATCTTGGACATAGACTACTTTTGCACATATAATGTAAGCGCAATATGTATGCAAAATAAAGATAAGGAAAAAACAGTGTTTCTTTCAGAAAAGTACCTTCCACTCCTAAACACAAGTGCCTATGACAATCTAAAGCAAAACAAGAGAAAAGGCACATAATAGTAGACACTTTTTTAGCCATTGTTTTGTCAAGGATTTCACATTTGTTAAAGAATAAGTACAGAGAAAACAGGACAACAGCTGAAAACAGGCATTGAGATGTGGCCTTGAGGAAAGCCTAAAGTACTTCTCCTGTCAAATACTGACTTCAAAGAAAATTTGGGACTCAAACACTGCCCCATTTTGTATAGGGGTACAGACTCTTTTCAAGCTAACAGTACTAGACTCTTTTCTTCCCATGAAATAGTCAAACTCTCAATGTTAGAATGCCTGGTTGAATAAAAATTAGAGCGCTCTCTTATCACTGAGAGATCCTAAAAGCTGTAGTGGAAAATTCAGCCACTTCCACCTGCAACACAGTAACAGGAACTTTCAGATAGCCTGAAAAGCCTGGAGGCCCCTTCTGGACTTAACTTAAAGGCCCCTGTACTTCAAAGTGAGATAAAGAAACAGCACAGAATGACCTGTGTCATACCAGTGAAAAACATTTTACCTTTCTGTTGCAAACTGATCAGTCCAGCAGTATACAGAAAAAATTGCCTTTAATAAACTCACCTTGAGCGTTTTGATCATAGTTGGATCAGTTGATCTAACATAGAAACTCTTCAGGTAAGGTTCAAACATGCCCTGAAAATCAGAACACATTTAAGTAACTCTCCTGTGTTTCATATACAGTGTGTTTTTAAAAATTCTAAATAGGGTATACCTTTCTCTGAATTGACATAGTGGCAATATTTTGCAGGACAATATACTGCACCTCCCTAGAAGAGAAACAAAAGTCATTCCACAAAATTACAGATACTTAGAATAATTCAATGTGGCAAAGAAAGTCCAATTCTATTTGAACATCAGGTTAGTTATCCATTTGTTTTGGCAGAAACATAGAAGGCAAAGCTTATTGCCAACTGCTAACTTCATCATTTGTTTCACAGGGAAGAGAGATGCATGATGAAACCAGGCTCTCATTTTTTAAACTCCAATACGCAAAAATACTCACTGACACCAGTGCAATGGTGCCTTTTGTATTTATATTGGGTATTTATTCAAACCAGAATTACATTTATCATTTTAATATAATGGAAATAGCTTATAAAAGCCCTACATTTTATCCACATTCTTGAAACAAATATTTCAGGATGACATAGCTGAGAACGAAAACACACAGGCTTTATCTGCAGTGTTGAAATAACTGCATTAACTACAGAACAGTTAATCCCTGCACAACTAGCAAGAATCGCTATGTCTTTTTTCTCTTAAGAGTTTTTCTAAAAATTCTCAAAAAGGGCCAGGATCTCCTGTGACTCAAGGGTGTACACTGGCAGACATATACATCTATGAAAAACTAACACTTTTACATAATAGACTGTGCAAGAGATAAACAGTAGATTTATGTAATAGTCTACAAAAAGCATTAAACATGTTTGGAGAGGGTATTCTCATCATTAATATATGCGTTTAAAAGCCTCCACATGAGTGAGCAAAAAGAAATCTGGGTACTAGTCTGAAGCTTTTAAAGTGCATATTTTGTGTCACCAATTGCTTAAAAACTAAGTAATAATTTACATACAATTTTTCTGAACTATGAGTGCTCAAATCCTTGCATGCTGCAAATCTCATCGTAATAGAGAAATCATCATACTCATTATCTCCTCTTACTCAAAACTGCCTAATAGCCCTAAGGTAATTACAGCTGCTGCTTACAAAGAAAAGTGATAATAGAGAACTACTTAAGATCTTTTAAACTTATTTTATGAAATTCTTACATAGGTGCATGGCAATAGTCAGCTACACATAATGAAACAAGACTGGAAATTGCTATGAGATGCTCTTTCAGGCACTCTCACTCTAACTAGATTACAGCTTAGTTGACATTAATTTAAAGGCCACAAGCAAATAACTTCAAGGGCAAACAGCAAAAGCTTATTTCAAAGTGTCTCTAAAAGCAAAGCGTTTCGCCCCGAACGACAACAGAACAGAAGAGCCAAGACAGAAAAATCAGAAGACTAGTGCCATTTAAGGTACTAGCTGAGATACAGGAAAGATGTGATTTTTCTTTTAAGGAAACCTGAGTATAAACAAGCAATAAACCACATGCAAATAATCCTTTCAACCTGTAAGCACAACTTTAACTCTACACATTATCTGCCAATTGCTTTAGTTATTTAACTCATTTCTGCATAAAGAGAACGGGAAGTATACTGTACTATAAATCCAAACACAAAAATAATAGTGATTCATTGTTATCTGAAATAAAAGCATGAATACCAAGTCCCATTTTACTTCTTCACCAACTTTTAAACAATAAAGATACTGAGCTGTAGAACTTTTACAGAGAAACAGCTCTTTGATGGCAGGACTTATGAAAGTTTAGGTATATCTAGGACAAGTAATCTTGCCAGACACAACAAAAGTGAGCTTTTTAAAAAACCTTAGTGTCTCTTTGATATAACTGATTTAAAAATGAAATTATTTTCACAGGGAAGTTCTAGCCAAAAATACCATTTTGAGTTAAAAAGTTATTCTAAAAACAATTAATATTGTCTCATGTAAACCCTTCAAGGCTTTTCATACAAATACATGGAAGTTCAAAATCTAAGAACTGAACAGGGAAGAAAAACACTTCTCTGCAGCAAATATGGGCACACTATGCAAAAATTATGAAATACAAATGAAAAAATAGCACTAATGATCTTATGAAATGTGGCTGATAAGACCTTTCATAGAAAAGCAGACAAAATACTACTGAAGATGACGAAGACAAAACAGAGCATTCTGTTATCTGATATCCAGTGATCCCTTCTAAACACACCCATTTTGGGATGTGTTACAGTACAGAAATATGAAATATACATCAGAAGACTTCTTTAGTGCTTAGCAAGACAGTAAGGAACTCAACAGGACTAAATTTCCAGTAATTTTTAAAAAATCAAGATATGAAGCAAACCAGTTAGTACTGACTCTATTCAAATACTTACTAGGCAGCCATGATTCTTGTCAGAACAAAAATCATAGGAATGAAACACAATAACCAATGATCCCTGGATGGGATACCAAAAATAATGGAATTACTTTTAGTGATCCTCGTTTGTTGAGTGAAAGTGAGTATTAAAGGACAATTTCAAAATTAAATGAATTTTGTAACTATGGCTAAACAAATATGGACAAAAAAGTACATATTTTGATGTAAAGGATGGACTTGACCTACCTGTTACTACGGAGTAAACGCACTAACGACTTAGAAACAATACCAGCTTCAGATTTTGGTGCCAAATGCCAGTACAGCTGTGCAACTGCCATTACCACCTAAAGGAAGAACATTCAGAGCAGCATGTTAACTTCCAATCATCATTCATAACTACCACATTTGCTTCAGACCTGCAGGACTACCAGCTCACTCATCTTCAGAAAGTTAAATGTATACCTGCAGCCGTCAAAATCAGCAAAACAGACTGAGGAAGAACATAGGAAGACACATTTTCACTAATTAAGTACCTTTACTTCCTCCCAGTATTTACTGTATGCTATAATAAATAGAAGGTCATAGAAATAGGGACAAAGAGAAAAAGCAGTAGATAATTTAAATTACAAACATAGTGGTACCATCCTTCATAAATCAGTATTGCTAACATCAGCTGTATAAAGTAATGAAGAAATATTCTTTACAAGTTTTTCTAATGCACTTTTCCTTTATGACTACAGGTTCAATATCACCTTTTATCTAGTTTCCACTCAAAATCTTTAATTCCATTATTCTATTATGCAATTTAGAGAGCAACAGCTGCCTTCACTGGAAAATTTTAAAGTACCAAATCCAACAGAAAGTAAATGGTACACGATTGTATACTAATACCCAGGCTAACAAACTTCAGAAGACTGAGACATAAGCAAATTAAAAATTTTCTTTCTTCTCAAACTTTCTCGTAAATAAAAGATAAAATATGATCTTTATGCTAGTGAGTGTCACGTCACAACCTTTGCTACAATTGTGGCATGATCAACTCTCTGTTCCAAACAAAACAAATCATAGAGACTCCAAGTAAAGCCCTCATGGTAACACTTCACTTAACATTTTAAATCCTAGTACCAATTAAACGAAAATTATTATTTAATAGCAAAAAGTGATTAAAAACATCTAAAGCCAGGAAATAACTTTAAGATTTTTAGCAATATATCACAAGTATCTTTTACTGCTGACAAAAAATTTAAGGTCATACGGAAGGCCATTAATTAAATTAATTGCAGGTAAATTCTGTGAATAGTATGAATATCGCTGTAATAGCAATTCAAAGTAGCATAATTTTGATAACTCTTTTCAAAGTGCACTTTAACATCTCAGTTAACTTTAATATCAGAAAGTTAAAGATCAAAAATGTGAGAATAAATACCATATTTAATAAAGAAAATTATTTATAGATTGAGGGCAGTAACTAACTGAACCTCTTCATGAAGTGGGATGGCAAACGTACAGATTTGTTCTTTGCATGAAATTAAGAAATATCATGGACACTGAACAGTGATTTTTAGCAAAAAGTTGTAAAAATTTAAACAATTTGTTTCCAAAGTCTGCTGGGCTGCCAGATCATAAATGATTTTGAGAAGAGTCAGATATTGAGTGAGAATCTCAAAATATGTTTCAATGGAGAATTATAACCTGATCTATTTAGCTTATTAAGAATAGGTGGCAAGGGGACTAAATCATGGTCACTGTTTTTGCAGCGATATGAATATTCATTATACTAGAAGACTTCTAGACATCTAGTCCTGAATAACAGGACAATCTGAAGTTAGAAGCAACATTCTGTGATCTGATTAACATCGCAGTGATTCACCATGAGCATGGCTTTTTCCAGTTCTAAAAAGTTACCCGTAATTTAAAATCTCATGGAAATAATCTAGAAAACCATACTCAGAATGTCATATCTGTTCTGGAACCCTGTCAAGCCAAGAACTCTAGAAATGTGGTGTATAATTGTCTACTTTTAAAATGTGAGACTCAAAAGAAAGAACAAATTGACTAATCAATAACAACTATGATTTTCTTTGCAGATCTTTTCCATTAAACTGTGACAATAAACTGTACCAGGTTGTGTCATCCTAACTGGTGAGAGTTTTAGCATGAAGAGCTACCTATGGTAGAGTCATCACATGCTATATAAATCGGATTCAAATGCTCTCATACTTTTTCCTAGCATATTGTTTGCCTGTATTATTTGGAGCACATATCACAATCAGTTTAGGCGTTTCACTTACAAGCTATGTTAAATTCAAAAGAGATCCCTCACACTTCTCCTAGAGTTACTAGAGGGTATTTTCACCAGTTTTAAAGAGGTGTAGATTTTACTCTTCAATCTTTTAAATTTTCTAAAAACAGGTATTTGTAGTCTAACATTTTAATCAAAAAGGAATTTGTCATACAGCAGCATTTCGGCTTTGAAGCAGGGGCTTTGTATTTCGTAACAGCAGCCTGTGATCCTGGTCCATAGTATAGGTGGTTTTCAATTTGTGATCCTTCTCTTTCTGTTCTTCATCAGATTCATAGAAATTATTTTCATTGTATTCATCCACCACTTCATCAACCTACCAACAGACAAAATGACAAGGATATACATAGAATATTTGAATCAACAGGTTTTATCCATTCAGGAACTAACATACAACAACACAGTTTCATGCAAGATTTATGTATGTTTTTTAAAAATAGCTTTTGGCGTTTCTACCCATTTGCTCACAACAGTAGATGTACTGACATGAAAAACAGATTAACAGTATATACAAAATTTCCTTAGAAATAAGTTGTACTGGACAAATGAAATACCTTTGCTATTATTCAACAAACTATTTTAGGTATGCATATTGGCCTTTTTTGGACTAAAGCCTATGATCCAAAATTGGTATTTCTGGAAAATAACTAGAAATGAAAATAAGATATAGGTCTTCGGAAAACTTGGCAAGGTTGCATGCCTTGGTCAACACTCAGGTGTAGTGAAAGAATCCATAAAAATGTCTTCAGTAGAGACAGGATGATGAGGGGAGGGAGAAAAGAAGCGACAATAAATTGTCACTTTGTTCTGGTTTTTATTACAATTTGAAAGGACATTGAAATTTTTTTAAAAAGAAGAAATATGAAGGGAAGTTTCATTACTTGATGCCAATTTTGCTCTCAGTGTATTACATGATGCCTAGCCAATTCATAGATATTTTATGCAATAGCAACTGAAATATTTTAATTTCCTTCTCTTCCAACAATTCTTTGTGGCAGTCACATTCTAAACTAAAAACTCAGAATGCTATATCAAGTCCACTGGTAACTGAATTCCTCCTTTGCCTACAGAACAGACAACGTGAAAGGAAATTTCCCAATCCCAGTGCATCACAACCTGCACTGAAGAAGCTTCCTCTAACAGGAGGAGGATAATTCAATCTTCATTGATTCAGTCTTCAATATCTTTGCCTTGACTGCTAACAGACATGCAGATCAGTACTATTGAATTCAACAGGAATATTGAGTTTGTAACTCATTAATAACTCTTACAAAGAAACAGCCTGAGCTCTCACATTTCTGATTACCTTTTTTTTTAAGAATTGTTTGCTTGGAACGTACTTGGAGCAGCAGAGTTCCAATACAAAGCAGCATATGCCTCTTACGAAAACACTTCTGTTTCAAATCTGATTAAGGTCCTTCTTCATACCCCAATGGCAGAACCATAATAATATGATCTTCTCATAATCATGTATTTTATTGCAATTTTAGAATATTGCTCTTTTCTCAGATCTGCTAAGATCTGGTAGGAAATAATTATGCTCCAGACAAAGGGTGAGGACAATACTCAGGGAAATTATTTTTTAATGAACTGAAATTCATCAAAATCAAGTTGATGAACTCCTAAGTATTTAGAATTTGTAGTCACAAGGACCCACTAAGACAAAGAGGACATGTAATGCTGCAAGATTTACACATTGTGATGGACAGGAAAGCAAAGTATTATGTAAAAGAGTCAGAAGACTAGGTTAAAAACCTGCAGCTCCTTGGTGTACAAGAATTGTTATTTCAAATTCTATTAATCATCCCACACATGGAGAATAGTTAGCAGACAACGTGAAAACACTCAATCACTCAAAACCTCTTAAGCCTCAAGCTGACCTACTGACTGTATTCGATGCCAAAGACATACAAGTCTAAGTTTAGAATCATAGTATTATTTACATTGGAAAATGACGTTGCCTCTGGTGCAACTTGAGGCCATATCCCCTTGTCATGTTGCTTGACTCTGACCTGGCTACAACCTTCTTTCAGGTTATTGCAGAGTGATAAGGTAACCCTCAAGTCTCCTTTTCTCCCAGCCACTCTGCACAGGACTCATGCTCCAGACTCCTCACCAGCGCTGTTGCCCTCCTCTGGACTTGTTCCAGAACTTCAATGCCTTTTCTATCATGAGGGGCCCAGATCTGGACACAGAATTTGAGGTCTGGCCTCACCAGTGCCCAGGACAGGGGGAGAACCCCTGCCCTGCTCCTGCTGGCCACACTATTGCTGATCCAGGCCAGGATGTCACTCGCCTTCTTGGCCACCTGGGCACACCCTGGCTCATGGTCAGTCACTGTCACCAGCACCCCCAGGTCCTTTCCAGCCACTCTGTCCCAGCCTGTGGCACTGCCTGGGGTTGTTGTGACCCAAGGGCAGGACCCAGCACTGGGCCTTGTTGAACCTCACACCACTGGCCTCAGCCATGATCCAGCCTGCCCAGATCCCTCTGCAGAGCCTTCCTGCCCTCCAGCAGATCAATAACCCACACAGCTTGGAGTCACCTGCAAACTGACTGAGGCTGCACTCAACCCCGTGTTCAGGTCATCAATGAGGTCATTAAACAGGACTGGCACCAGTACAGGGTGACCAGTCAACAGCTGGATGTAACTCCATTACACCACCACTCCTTCCTGAGCCTGGCCGTCCAGCAACTCTTTTAACCAGCAAAGCATACATGCATCCAAGACACAGGCTGCCAGTTTCTCCAGGTTAATGCAGCGGAAAATATTTTCAAACGCCTCACCACTGCTGTTCAGTTAGACAACGTTCACAGCCCTTCCTTCACCTACTAAGTGGGCTACCCTATCATTCTAGGAGGTTAAGTTTGTCAAGCAGGACCTGCCTTTCACAAACCCATGCTGGCTAGGCCTAATCCTCAGGTTGTCCTACATGTGCCACGTTACAGCACGCAGGATGACCTGCTCCACATCCTTGCTCAGCACTGGGGTCAAGCTGACAAGCTTGACAGTTCTCCAGATCCTCCCTTGAACACTCTCCTCTGTGCAGATGGGTGTCATATTTGCCAATCACCAATGAACTGGGATCTTCATCGTTAACCAGGACAGCTGCTAAATGATGCAAAGTGGCTCAGGGTCTGGGACCTTCAGTACCCTTGAGTACTTGGATGCTATGTGCCCCAGAGACTTGTGTGTGTTTAAAGTGGTGTAGCACACTATTCCCCCTTGGATCATGAGGGCTTCATTATCCTCCTCCTCTCCGTCTTATAGATCAGGGGGTGGGTACCTTGAGAACAATTTGTTTTACAACTACTACCCTCTTTGCTTCAGAAAAGGTACCTCCGTCTTTTCCTCACCCTTAATACTTTATTTCTCCGTGCAGTTTTGCTGGTGCACCTCCTTATTTCTCCGACAATGAAAAGCTCTGTCATTTTGTGATCACAGTGGCCCAGCGAGCCTCCAACCATCATACCACATCACCCACCAGACCTTCTCTGTTCACAGGTAACAGCTCCAGTACAGTGCCCTCCCTTGTTGACATCCTGACCAGCTGTGTCAGGGCATTATCATCCATACAATCCAGGAACCTCCTCTGGTTCCTCTCCACTGATTGTATTTTCAGCAGGCATCTGGTAATTTAACAAAGAAGACTATCAACTGTGAGACTTCTCTCACCTGCCCATAGAATATTCCATCTGGCTCTTCAACATTTCATCTTCCTCTTCCAACTAGCTCAAAAGTCTGCATTTACCTGAACAAGCAAGTCTGTTTTGGCATGCACTAGGTTATTCTTGCAATTTCTGCTATCACTGCCTAGCTATTTCCAGATAGAACACAATTCTAGGATTCTCTTAACTCATTTCAAGCCTAGGTAGAAAACCTGAAACTGAACTGAGACACAATAAATTACTGCCAAAAGTTCAGACCACCAAGCCAAAACTTCACATTAAGACACCTAGCTGAATTGTTGCTCTGTCCCCAGATAAACCTTGTAGTACAAGTACTGAAGCCTGTACTAAAGAAAGAGATTGGGACAAGCAGTAATTCTCTTCTAAAGTGGCATAGAAATAGCTTCAGGGGGGCAACCACAAGCAAAGCCTCTTGGTTCTCACAAAAGGGGAAAGCCTTGTGCAGAGATCTTAGAAAATGCCTCCATGCTCAACAACAGTGCTATGGTGTTCTGGAGAAGAAAAGCAACCAGAGCAGTGTTACACTGATACTAGGCCTACATTTTGAACTCAGAAAAAGAAGGCATGAGTAGGGTATAATGGAGATATAAGCACTATTAACATTAACATTTTTTCTGCAAGCAGAGAACTGAAAGTAAGACTCTTACACTGTGAGATGAAAGTCTGTTTTAACTATTAATTTAACTATTTAACTAATTAATTAACTATTGACTCAACAACTGACAGATGATTTCCTACACACTTATTCTCCAGTCTTCACTGTCTATAGTGCACTACACTAGGCTGTGGAATATGCTTCTTCACATTCCTAAAGCCTCCACATCTCTATGCATCCCTGAAGAAATGCTAAATATGGGCAACACTCAAATTTTACTTTCACAGGTGTCTAAATACAACTCATACTAGAGTGGAGAACTGATAGAACTGATGATAACCAGTACATATTAACAACTTTATCAATCCTCTGATCCTTTTTGACAAGGGAGACATAGCATCAGAGTTCTGAGAGTAGATTCAAATGTTCCAATTCTTTCTGTTGTCATTTCAATCCCTTTAGATGCAGTTTCACAGCTGGTTTAAGACTAATCAGTCCAACAGAAGTTTGTTGTTTTGTTTGCCTTTTCAAAAGGATGTTTTATTTCCACCAAGATTAGTAAAATGATCCGTCTCACTCTGTGGTCACAGGATCACTAGAACTACTGGATTTCAAAAAGCAGTAGGTGGTAAGGGAGAACAGAACAAAAGAGTGGCAGCTGTTAGTTAAACCACATTAAATGCATTTAACAGTTTGCAGAACTACATGATTTAATTGTGCAGTTAATAACTTTTCTAAATTGCAAAATGACAAAAGTTCAGAACTCTGGAAGAATAAAATTATTAAAAAACTGAGACCATAGTATTCCAGACTACAATTTGCAAATAGACTCTGCATTCCCCATCTACTATGATTTATTCACAGCAGAGAAGTGAGTATTTTAGTGTGGAAGAACATGCATAATTCTCTTTTACGTTATTCCAGACATACAATTCAAGGATATTTTCATAAAGTATTAACAGCTTAAATGAAGAAACTGACAGATAGCAAATTCTATTAACCTGTTTTTAAAGTCACTAAGTAAATGAGCT